TTAAGGTGGGTTTGATGAGGCACCACTGGGGTTGAACGGGATGACTCACAGGTGTGTGAGGGATGGACGGGCATAAGCGCATTCCTGCAGTGTTTCTTCGTTCAGTGATTACATCCAATTACCTGGACACTATCCTTGACATCTTCCCCTCTGTGGGCCTGCTCAAACAGTTACTCATATCTTTTACAAAAATTGCATCTTCTAAATCTCTCCAAACCACCTACCTCTCTCTGCATCTACTATAGCTATCTTAGTGCACTATTTCTCATCTGGATCACTGCCACAGCCATCCAATGGATCCCCTGTATCCTTCTTTGTGCCATCCAACAGAGTCTCCAAACTATCCTCCAGAGCGCTCTATCATGCTAGCTTTCGCTGACTCACTGTGGCTCCATATGGTCTTAATTCACTCATCTATCTCTGACCCTTTCCCTTACTACGTTCCTGCCACATTAGCCTTCTTTGATTCTGTAAGAATTCCAGCATTCTTTTTATAGCTTATAGTATCTATTACCAATGATTTTAAGATTTTTTTTTTGATGTGGATCAGTTTTAAAGTCTTTACTGAATTTGTTCAATATTGCTTCTGTTTCATGTTTTTTTTTTTTTGGCCACGAGGCATGTGGGATCCTAGCTACCCAACCAGGGATCAAACCCATGCCCCTTACTCCCTTAACCATTGGTTCACCAGGGCAGTCCCTTTTTACTTACTTATTTATTTATTTTTAGAAATATTTATTCATTTGACTGTGCTGGGTCTCAGTTGGGGCACACGGGATCTTTCAGTATGGCATGTGGGATCTAGTTCCCTGACCAGGGATTGAACTGGGCCCCCCTGCACTGGGAGTGCAGTCTTAACCACTGGACCACCAGGAAAGTCCCAGGATTTCAGCATTCTGCTTTAAAGGTTTTGCATAAACAGTACCTTGCCTTTGCCTGGAAAGCTTTAAACCTATCCCCATTCTCTTTGACCTAATTTTACAAATTCTTCACGTAAAGTGTCACTTGCTTAGTGAAGTCTTTCCTTTCTAATGCATTCTTCATATTGTCTTTAAAGCACCCAGTTAGTTCTATTACTTTGATACAAATGACTTGTAAATATAGAGATCATTGTCCCAATCTACTCCCTGAACCCAAGATAAGCATTTTCATCTGTCTCCTTGACTTAGATGTTTAACTGGCACTTGAAACTCTAAAAACATCCAACCAATATCATCACCTTCCCTCAATATATCATTTCATTAAGTTTCTTGTTTCTATGACTATCACCATGGTGACTACCAGGCCATTCACATTTGAAATTCTCTATTCATTTGAACCTTTTTCTAGATTCCTATCAGTGCATTCCAGTCAATGGCCAAGTCCCCCAAATTCTAACTCTAGAATCTAACTCAGCTCTCCCTTTCTAGACTCATTCCTTTCATGAAGCTAAGGCCTTCATTACACAAGTCGTCACACTGGTCTCCTCCCTCCAATCCTACCACCATTAACTAACCTAAACACATCTCTGCATAGCTGGCTCCCTTTCTCAAACATCTTCAAAAGAATCATGATGCCACTAAGCCCAGAGTGTCTCAACATTTAACCCATGTCCCCTGCTTTTTGATTAATGCAAAAATCTCATCTCTCTCCTACATTTTATATTACAGAAACAATAGGGGCTTTTTCTATTCCTTAAATATAAAACTATGAGATTCAATGTGCTTCTTCAAACTCCACTCACCATACTTCAAGCTCTGTCTGTGAATCCCTCTTATTAACTGTCGGCTCTCTGGAGGGAAGCCTCGTACGTGATGGACACTCAATAAATTTTGTTTAATTGACTTCTTAACCCTTGCCGTTAGGGTTGTTCCTTGTTGGAACCTCGTTTTGTTTTTCCGTTTTTTTGCCTTGTCTGTGGTTTTCCGGTGTGTTTTTGTGGCGGAGTCTGTGTGTTCTTTTTGGGGAGGCGGGTTTTTTCTTTTTGGGGGGGGATTTGGCCCCGCTCTCGCGTGTGAAATTTTCTGTGGGGAGGGGCCTGTGGGGGTCTAGTGTCTGTGGTGTCACAGAGTCGGACATGATTGAGCACAAGTACTGTACTTTATTGAGAGGTTGAATTTCAGCCCCTGATGTGGAGCATGTGCTTAGTAGCTCAGTCGTGTCTGACTTTTTGTGACCCCGTGGATTGCGGCCCACCAGGCTCCTATGTCCATGGGGATTCTCCAGGCAAGAATACTGGAGTGGGTTGCCATACCCTCCTCCAGGGGATCTTCCCAACCCAGAGATCGAACCCAGGTCTCCTGCAATGTAGGGGGATTCTTTAGAGGCTCATAAAATGAGTTAGGGGTTCACGAGAAGTCTCTACTTGGCTACTCCAGCCAAATTATGCCAGCAGTTCTCAAAGCATGATCCTACAAACAGAGACATCAGCACCCCTGGAATGCACTAGAAAAGCAAATTCTCAGTCCCCACCTTAGATCTACTGAGCCAGAAACTGTAGAGATAGAGCTTCATAATTTGGTTTTTACAAGTGCTCCAAGCAATTCTAGAGCATGCTAAAGTCTGATAACCCCTGAACTAGACTATTTACCCTCAGGTAAGTGTCATCTTTCCTCCTTCCATGACTTGATTCCTTCTGCCTGGAAACTCCAGTGCCTGGCTAGTACTCAATAAATGTTCATTTTGCTTGAACAGCCAAAAACTCTAAAATGCCTCCTTGATAGCCCTCATACATCTGAACTGAAATTATGCCTCTTTTTGAGTACATACTCTTTTCAGTTGGCATGAGGAAATGCAAGCTTATTCTTAGCAATAATGTCAATATTTTAGAAGTGTAAATTGTCTAAAATTGTGCATATTTGGGGGAATAAAGGATATATCATCTACTTCTCAGTATTCAAAGCTTATTACAAATTTTGCCATCTTGAGGAAATTGAGAGGAGATGCCTGTTTTCAATTATAATGTTAAAAAGAGTCAGAAACCTTTAGATTTAATGATTCCAATTTTGCAGAGCTGAAGATAGGTACTTATTGATGTTAATCTGCATCAGAATCACATAAGTGTTCCAAGAAGTCAGGTGAGCCACTTGGCTAACCTTGGAGCCCAGGCAGGAAACTGAAGGTTTGCCCTAAATAGGTAGACTCTGAGGTAGGAAGAATATTTGGGCCAGGGAGAAACTGAAGCTGGCTTTCTAAGGCTACAGAGAAGTCATCTGTTTCCAGATAAAAGTAACACCCCAAACATGAAATACAAGAGGTCGCTAACTTGAAAATCAATAGAAATATTGATTGCCTTAAAGGAGAAAACCATGTATAATAAAACCCCAAAGACCACACACACACACACACAAGCTCACACAAACAAAAATGGCAGTGAACACAAGATGGCAGAAGTCATTCAAATTTTTTTAAGGAAATGGGATGTATTTCTGGTACTAGGATATGGTACCTCATTATAAAGATGATTAGCAGCAAATTACTAAAAGCTATAATCAGAGTACATTGTGAGCAATTTTACACTATCTAGGACAATTCACCATTTTTCAGATAAGGAACAGCCTCAGAGAGATTACATTAACTTTCCCAAGAGCATAGATTTAATCAGCAGCAAAGCCTATGTTGATTTCTTCTTAGACCTGAGGTCCTCTTGCTACATCATTCTAATGTCTGGGTTGAATCATATTTGCTGCTGGCCACAGGAGCCACAGAGGATGTGTTTTAATTAAATCCATCTGATTACTTACCGGGTGTATGAACTATCTTTACCAATTCTTTAGCATGTTCCTAACAAGCTGTGATAAAGCCTTTGACAAACTCAGGACAAAAATGTGGCTTTACTGTTACAAGCATCTTAAAATTTAGTTAAGGTGATACAGCATTTTAAAATATAACAAGCAAATCTTGGTACACAAAACGTGCAGAAGGCTGTTGCTAATACAGAAACCCTAAAATGGGTTAAGCAAATGATGAAAAAAAAATCTCTAGGAAGCTTCATTGCTTTTGTTTAACAACTCTCAAAACACAAGATGAAACAATGTAATTTTAATTCAATGACTGACTGGATCCTTCTTTAAGTTCTGGCTTTGATAGCTCCCAGATGCAACTTTTAATTTCATAATTCATTTTTAAAATATGGGTCAAATCCCATTTCAATAATGAAATACCCAAACTCTAGTCCAATACTCCAGGTATTTTATGTACTAACTGTAATATGATTTCTAAATTGCAGAGTTTTAGAGCTGAGAAGGACTTTTGAGACCATGTAATCAAACACCATCATTATGTAAAAGAAAGAACTGAGATTTCCAACAGACATAACTTTAGTACAAGAAAATATCTGATAATCCTTTAGGATTAATACATAAAAAAGTAGCATGAAGGTTTTTTGCTTTTTTTTTCAAAATTTAATTTTTTTTTTCCTTTTCCCCTTTCCTTTTTTTTTGAAAATTTTTGGGCCCTTAAATTTTTTATTTAAAAAAAACAGAAATTAAAAGAAAGCAAGCTTGTGCTACTTAATTATCTTAAGGTTTTAAGGTTTTTTTAAAAAATTGAACAACCTGATATGAAAATTTCAGTAATGTTACCATGAAAAAACATTACCATACACACAGGGTTTTTCCTTCCTAACATTCAAACAGGCTATCATCTACGATATAGAGTAGGAAATACCATACAGCATAGAAAAGAAAATTCTACTGAAAATAGAATAAGTGAAAAAAGATAAAATCTATCTAAAGAGAAGGGCACTGATTTAAAGGTTTCAAAAACATCAAACCTTCTAACAGGATCTCAGTGAGAAATAAAGCCTTTAATATTGTCAATATATCGAAAGAAACCAAAGCACGAAGCTTTAAAAATTGTAAAGCTGGGGCAAAAACTGAGCAACAGCCTTAAACTTAAGACTCCATACTCGGAGATTTATACATAACTTAGGTAAAACTGCAAGAACTTGCTCTGCTGAACACAGAATAACAAACGGAGTTGCACACCTATTCACAACTCGCAAATACACACCAACATACCTATTGTTGTTCCGACAATTTCGACAGTTAATGCACTCCATCGGGTCAGTTGGAGGTACCGCTGTGTACAGGCCACCACCCTTGTCAGGAAGGAAGCAGAGGGAAAAAGGAAAAAGGGAGTGCTGAAGGTGTCACAGACTAGTAATCAGATCATCTCAAATGTTAAATAAAGCCACACCAACAATAACTGGTTACGTGGTATATTTTAACCATCTCCTTGAGCTGTGCTATGTTTATCACTATTTACCTATACTAAAACTGTTCTCCCCAAACTCAACTACCAGGGGTTTTTGCATGTATGTTTATACTGGAAAGAGGGAAATAAATGAAGGGAGAAGTTTAGTCATTTCCCTTCAGTGTTTCAAATCTAATGGGCCCAAAATACACTATACGTTATAACCTCCTATTCATTTTTACTTTCCTAGCAGTCATGGAAAATTTTTATGGGATGCTAGCTGGAGAACCAGGGTGGAAATCTGTTTGAATGATGTCACAAGATAAACCCATCTTCATTTTCCTGTAATTATTTCGATTAGGTTTGTTCACTTGACTCCATGAAGTCTTAAAACATGTTATATTTTTCCAGATGGAGTAGATTCTCAGCCAGCGATGACCTGGAGGGGAGTATTAATATTGTGCTGTTGCTTTTGGCGGAAACTGCCCAGCAATTAAGAAAAATGCCCAGATTAACACATACCTCACTGTAAAATATTCACTTGACATATACAATGGCAAGAGTTCTTGAAAATGGGTTAAGACTTGAATCAGCCTTATGGTCACAGTCAAAATTCTGCTTTCAGAAGCAAAACAGCAGAGCTGAATTTGATAAGGGTGGAGGAGGCTGTTACACTGCTCCCCAAGCCCAGAACAGGCCCTCAAGGTTAGGAAAAGTTCAGGCAATTGTTTTTCCCAGAATACTTTCCATTTCCATTCATCTCATAACAACAGCCAGAATCTAAGCAAACCAAAAGTACTGAAAATTTCTTGCAACATTCCTGATCCAACTAGCAACAGGAGCTTTTGAGAAAACATTGAAAGAATATTCCTATGCTATATTCAGTCCAGGAGGATAAACTCCAAAGCTTTAGAAAAAACTGAAGTTAAGAACCTACAGGATAGTGTATTTATTGGACTCACTAAACATATTAAAGTTAATTCAATCATTTTATGATCAAAAGCATTTTTAAAATGTCCTTATTTCCACATATCCAGAAGAGTAAGAAAATGAATGAGCTAAGATCAGAGAGGATAACACCTAAAACTGCACACTTACTGGGGCAGCTATTATTTAAAGAGCAACTCATTGTTCAAAAAACACAAAGTGCTGTGTTCAAATACTAAAGCAAACATCAGACTTATTTTTTTTTCTTATGGAAACAGCCTGTGCTATTCAAACGGTAATGCTCCCTCCTTCAGTTTCTTGGACAATGTTAGTAGTTTGGACTAGGAATGGTGACAAAAAAGTTTAGAAAGTCTGAATATAAGCCATGTCTTTCCATACAAAATAATGAAATCATTATTCACTTTTGGTAATGATGCACTAAAGCAAATTAAATATTTTTTCTACAACATATTAAAGCTATTTAATAATAATTAAATATTTAATAATTTAATAAATTAATAAAGAGTTAATAAATCTTTACTACTGTTTAAAATTTTTTAAAAAGTCTCTATAAACGTCTTCATTTCTAGCACATTGTAGGTTATGGCAAATTTATTTGTAATTGAAACAATGAAAAATATGTAAATGAGTGTTTAATTTGATCAACTAAACATTTTATTTATGTGATTGAAAATAAAGTGGCTGACTATCCAAACAATGTAATAAATCAAGCTTCCTGGTGCAGAGAATCTCTTAAACCAGTACAAGTCTAAAATACACTAGTCATTCTATTCCCATTTCAAAAATGAAAGTATATCAGCTGGTTGAAAGTGAAAGTGTTAGTCACTCAGTCAGACTCTTTGCAACCCCGTGGACTGTAGCCCGTCAGGCTCCTCCATCCATGGGATTCTCGGGGCAAGAACACTGGAGTGGGCTGCCATTCCCTTCTCCAAGGGATCGTCCCGACCCAGGGATCGAGCCTGGGTCTCTTACACTGCACTGAAATAAAGTAGTACTAGAGGTTTATCACTCCTTGTGGCAAGAGAACACTAATCTTATAAAATATAAAAGCCTTATAGGCAACCAGAAAACACACATGGGGCAAAACAAATCAAGAAAACCCCATAGGAGGTCAGAGGTGACAATCTGGGAGCACACAGCCATGCTGTGTATGGCCAATGCAAGGCTTTTTTCTCAAAGTGGAATTAGTTGCCAAATGTAAAAAATCTAGATTTCACCTGGATTTACAGATGTGAAAACTCAGAAGACCTGGCTACACAGGGTGTGTGGACAACAGGTGCTAAACCTGAGCTGCTTATTTTTTCTTTTTTAAAAATGGTATCTATTTAGTTTTTGGCCGTGCGGGGTCTTCACTGCGGCAAGGGCTTTTCTCTAGTTGCAGCGAGCGAGCGGGGGCTACTCTCTAGTTGTGATATGGGGGCTTTCATTGCGGTGACTTCTCTTATTGCAGAGCATGGGCTCTAGGCCCTGTGGGCTTCAGTAGTTGCAGCATGTGGGTTCAGCAGTTGCAGCTCCCAGGCTGTGGAGCAGAGGCTCAATAGTTCTGGCCCAGGGGCTTAGTCGCTCTGCAGCATGTGGATCTTCCCAGCTCAGGGATCGAACCTGTGTCTCCTGCATTGGCAGGACGATTCTTTACCACTGAGCCACCAGGGAAGCCCCCTGGGGCTGCTTCTACACCGCTCTCCCATACCACCACTTCTGTCTCATCCCCAACTTGTTTCACTCAATTTCACCATCTGCCTGACTCCTCTAAGCGTATAAGTTTTTAGACTTTGCTCTAAATAAATCAAATTTAAACTATGTGGCTTGGTCCATGGCCAATAGAATTTCCGCTTCATCTCAAGAATAACTTCCAGTCTGTTTATAATTGGCCCTGCACTTTCGGTGCTAAATAACTCTAGATATAATTCAGATTGATGAATACAACTACTGCTTGATAACAGAAAGCTTCAAAAGATGACTGGATCAAGAGGCTGCTGGTGACACCAGCTACACCAGTGAACCTGCGAGGTTGCTTTATTGGGAAAAGCATGCGTGCTGACCATGTTCTTGCACCCTGACATCGTGGGGCACAGGGAGGCTTTTATTTATAAGTAGGTCTCTTACATTCACTAGATGACGAGGATGTTCAAAATCCACACGTGTTCTGGTTAGAGAGCTCACGTGCCCGGAGTAGAGCCCTCCATTTAAGCTCCCGCTGACTCCATTGGGGACTTTGTGGTGCAGATGCGAGCAGCCATTGCTGAAGCTTCCGTGAACACTTCCATTTATCCGGTTTGTGCCGGGCAGAGTGGTGTATTCCACCATCTGCCCATTGACATCTGACCCTTGGTAGAGATAGCCTGGTGGGTCGTATTCTGTTGAGAGAGAACAAAAAAAAGCAAACAAACAGAGAGGGTAAGGGACTGAAAGAGACAATTCTTCTTGTTCGGGAAGTTTTATTAATTAAATCCCTAATAAACTACACCTGTACTAAAATACACTCTTTAAAAGTGTTCACTTACAGCTTCTTTGTGAGATTTGCTTTAATCAAGTTATTACTGTTATTTCCTTAACGGTGTGGAGGCAGCCAGGAACTATGAGTTAGTTATGACTCTTTTAATGGGCACAGAAATCAGCCAGAGAGAAACTGCTCAAAAGAGAATGAATAAATTGTGCAAGTTGCGACTATCAAAGTACTGGCAACAGTAAGAAAATGTGTTTCAATTCCCTGATGCTTCAAAGTGCCGAAAGAAACTGTATAAAACGCCAGCAAAAGGCTAACTTTAGGTAGAATATTTCAAAAAGCAATAAACACCACTTAAGTAAAAGGATGGGATTGGGGAAGTATTCACTATTCATACAGGTCCTTGGTTATTACAGCCAAGTTGGAAATTGCGGGACATGAAAGGCTAATTATTCCCTTTCCTTACATTAAAAGTATTTCCATAGCTGCCTCAAATATCTGATTTCCAGAAGCACACCTACCAGATGTACTTATGCTCTGCAGCATGTGGATCTTCCCAGCTCAGGGATCGAACCTGTGTCTCCTGCATTGGCAGGACGATTCTTTACCACTGAGCCACCAGGGAAGCCCCCTGGGGCTGCTTCTACACCGCTCTCCCATACCACCACTTCTGTCTCATCCCCAACTTGTTTCACTCAATTTCACCATCTGCCTGACTCCTCTAAGCATATAAGTTTTTAGACTTTGCTCTAAATAAATCAAATTTAAACTATGTGGCTTGGTCCATGGCCAATAGAATTTCCGCTTCATCTCAAGAATAACTTCCAGTCTGTTTATAATTGGCCCTGCACTTTCGGTGCTAAATAACTCTAGATATAATTCAGATTGATGAATACAACTACTGCTTGATAACAGAAAGCTTCAAAAGATGACTGGATCAAGAGGCTGCTGGTGACACCAGCTACACCAGTGAACCTGCGAGGTTGCTTTATTGGGAAAAGCATGCGTGCTGACCATGTTCTTGCACCCTGACATCGTGGGGCACAGGGAGGCTTTTATTTATAAGTAGGTCTCTTACATTCACTAGATGACGAGGATGTTCAAAATCCACACGTGTTCTGGTTAGAGAGCTCACGTGCCCGGAGTAGAGCCCTCCATTTAAGCTCCCGCTGACTCCATTGGGGACTTTGTGGTGCAGATGCGAGCAGCCATTGCTGAAGCTTCCGTGAACACTTCCATTTATCCGGTTTGTGCCGGGCAGAGTGGTGTATTCCACCATCTGCCCATTGACATCTGACCCTTGGTAGAGATAGCCTGGTGGGTCGTATTCTGTTGAGAGAGAACAAAAAAAAGCAAACAAACAGAGAGGGTAAGGGACTGAAAGAGACAATTCTTCTTGTTCGGGAAGTTTTATTAATTAAATCCCTAATAAACTACACCTGTACTAAAATACACTCTTTAAAAGTGTTCACTTACAGCTTCTTTGTGAGATTTGCTTTAATCAAGTTATTACTGTTATTTCCTTAACGGTGTGGAGGCAGCCAGGAACTATGAGTTAGTTATGACTCTTTTAATGGGCACAGAAATCAGCCAGAGAGAAACTGCTCAAAAGAGAATGAATAAATTGTGCAAGTTGCGACTATCAAAGTACTGGCAACAGTAAGAAAATGTGTTTCAATTCCCTGATGCTTCAAAGTGCCGAAAGAAACTGTATAAAACGCCAGCAAAAGGCTAACTTTAGGTAGAATATTTCAAAAAGCAATAAACACCACTTAAGTAAAAGGATGGGATTGGGGAAGTATTCACTATTCATACAGGTCCTTGGTTATTACAGCCAAGTTGGAAATTGCGGGACATGAAAGGCTAATTATTCCCTTTCCTTACATTAAAAGTATTTCCATAGCTGCCTCAAATATCTGATTTCCAGAAGCACACCTACCAGATGTACTTAGAAAACGTGAAATGTTCTTTAGAATGTATATTATCTAAACTGCACAGGATTCGTTGTCAGAGTTCTGATCAGCTCTTGAAAGGTACTGGAGGAGAGTGCCAAGACCGGACGAACTGTTCCTCCTCCTGTGACAGGTGTGTTAGCAGCACAGGTGTGTCACTATCAGTGCTTCTCTTCTCCACTAAACGAGATGAGGAGGGCGTGACACCTGCACTGTCCACCACAGCGTGGGGACCTCAGGTGAGAGGCACAATGACTATCTTGTGAATGAATGACTGAATGAACGTTTCCATCAATGAACATTACCATTTCCCATCTTTCAACATATTTTCAAGTCACAAAGGAAAGCAACTTTAGCCAGATTAATCTTGCTCAGACAAGCAGATCAGTACTCTTAGTGATTTGGCGCACTCTCACACAATCAAAGTCTATGACATCAGAACCATTTAGAAAAAGACCCAAAAGATGGCCAGCTCTTCTAGCCTGGCACCACCATCACCATCTCCACCACTTCTCACCCTGCCTATCTCCTGGAAGGCAACAAGGTGATGAAAATCAATCACTTTCCCCCCCTGAGCTGTTCACTAAAAAGGGGCTATAGGCAGGAACCAGCTAAGAGCTGCTGAGCGCTAATCACTGCTGGGGTCTTTGCTTTTGTTTCATCTCTTTACTCTGGGGCCAAAGAGGAAACTGAAATACTTCCTCCTAGCAGAGACTAAAGCCTCTGATTGATCTGACTGTCCTCTTTTATAATAGCTGGGGGAAGAGGAACGGTAAGCAGGTGAGGGGATGAAAAAAGAGGAAAGAAAAGGGAAGAGGGTTCTAGGTTACATGTTTCACTACAGTGCCATCACTGACAGCTCCAGCACTCCTGGACCCGTCTCCGGGGGTGGGACATCACCCTGGAGCTGTTTTGGTACATGAAGTACCGAATCAGGAGCATGGCGTCTTCATCTGTGTCATCCCAGGACAGTAGCTTAGAACAGTCTTCACTAGCTTCCTTTCCATCATGCCTTTCTCATTCCTTGTTGACAAGGTCTGGAGCAGTACGGAGGGGTTCCTGCAGCAATTCCAAAGCTCCATGCTCCGAGTCCTCAGCCTCTTTGGTGGTCCAGCACCACCAGAGTTTCCCAGCACTGAGTCAGCTATTTACTTAGAGACCTGCTTAGTTTGGCCTTTGCTGTTTATTTCTCCGGGGCAATTTAATTTGATGCTCCACTTATTTTGGCTGACAGCTAGCACCATCTTAAAGTCATCTCCACTGAATGAAGAGCATCTGATGTGTTCTATCCCACGACACTCATGCACAAACGTGTTAGAAAAAAATATTTATTCTGACAATATTTTTCTACCCATCTTTAGAAAAAAGAGCAGGAGACGCTGATGAATGACTTACTCTGTATGGTGTTCTGCTGGCGGTTCTTCCACAGGCACATGGCAATGAAAGCCATGAGAATGAGCACCATCACCCCCAGCACACAGCCAACAATCAGGTACAGCATGTCGCTGCTTCTGGTGGGGCTGGCGGCAGGGCCCACGTTCCCGCCACTCCCCGAGGAATTTGGAGGGGTGCTCAGGTCTTTGATGGGATACTCAGAAGCTCCAGGGACCCGTTTCACTAGTTGAAAAACAGAAAGGAAAATATGATGTCAGGGTGAAGACAGTCTCTATGAAACGGTTTACTCTCCAGAGGAGGTCTGGTTAGGAACACGAGCCAGTCTGTTTACACTTGTGACTGAGATGATCTGACCACCAATGAGTCACAAAGAGGGCTCCAAAGTTTAAAAGTCTAATGTGCTAAGGTTTTAGGCCACAAATTCTAGAGAAATCATCAGGTCAGAGACACAGATGCACTTGGTCTAACCCAAACTGCTATATGATGATCTGCTCAATTGTACTGGCAGAAGACTCCCAAAGAGTTGAAATAAAAATATGGTAACCTACAGATGGGACAAAAACTCCTTTCTGTCTGACACACTTTGAGCTGAATGAGACTCATGATTACATATTTTATGCCTTTTGCCTGTAAATATATTAAAAGACAAGACTTTGGACTACTAGAACAATTATATACAACTCCAAAAACTTCACACATAATACTAAACATTCTAAAACCAAGAACTCTTGAGATCATGCATAAACATAGTACTTTTACCTAATTCACGGGTATTCTGGATAATGGCAAGAGCAAAAGCTAATAACAGGTGGCACATAAACCCCACTTTCTCTGTCCCCATCAGATAACATGCTCTTAATGCTCTACATGTTATAGAGAAGCAGCAGACAGCATAGTGGTTGATGGCCTGGTCTCTAGAACCAGACTGTCCAGGTTTCTATCCTATTCCACCATGTACCCTTTAGCCATATGACTTGAACTTCCATGAACCAGTTTCTGCATGTGGAAAATAGACATAATAATAACAGCTCCATCATAAGGTTGTAATGAAGAGTAAATGAGGGGACTTCCCTGGTGGCCCATTGGTTAAGAATCTAATTTCCAATTAGACAATGTGGGTTTGATCTCTGGTGAGAGCTGGACCATAAAAAAAGCTAAGCACCAAAGAACTGATGCTTTGAAATTGCAGTGCTGGAGAACTCTTGAGAGTCCCCTGGACAACAAGGAGATCAAACCAGTCAATCCTAAAGGATATCAACCCTGAATATTCACTGGAAGGACTGATGCTGAAGCTCCGATACTTCAGCCACCTGATGCAAAGAGCCGACTCACTGGAAAAGACCCTGATGCTGGGAAAGATTGAGGGCAGGTGGAGAAGGGAGCGACAGAGGATGAAATGGTTGGATGGCATCACCAACTCAATGGATATGAATCTGAGCAAACATCGGGAGATAGCGGAGGCCTGGGAAGCCTGGCATGCTGCCGTCTGTGGGGTCACAAAGAGTTGGACACAACTCAGCAACTAAACAACTGAGAACTAAGGTCCCACATGCCATGGAGCAACTAAGCCTGCAGGCCACAACTAGAGAGAGCCCTCGAGATGCAACTAGAGAAGTCCACATACTGTAGGGTCTTTGGCACAACTAGAGCGCCCACGCCACAACTACTGAGCCCGTGCGCTCCAGAGCCTGTGCACCACGACAAGAAAGAGACGCCCCCTGCACCACACTGGGAAGCGCAGGTGCCACAACAAGAGACGCCCTCGCGCACCACAACTAGAGAAAGACTCCCCGCCACAAGGAAGACCCAGAGCAGCCAAAAGTTCTTAAAAAATTAGAATACGTAAATAAAATCATAAAAGAATAAATGAGTTAATCCATGTAAAAAAGCTCTCCGCTTACAGCCTGGCATGTGGTAGTGTTCAATCAATTTTGTTACTGTCATTAGTTATTATTCTACATTTCTTGTTATGGTTCCTAACTACTTACAGGAGCAGAATGATCTTTTAAAAAAAAAAAACCTACTTCAACTAATATTATATTGGGGTTCCATTTTCTAGCAACTTCAATTCTACAGAACCCGGCTGGAAATCAGTCAAGGAGAGGCTGCCTTTCAAAGGAAAGAGCTCTGCATCATTGAAAGCTAGAAGAATACCTGGCAAAGACTCTAAAGGAAATTTCTACTTTGGGTGGTGTGTTGGATTATACAATTCTAAGGTCCCTGCCAATTCCTAAGACAACAAACAAGTTTCTGAGGCAAAATGGATGTTACAGATTGTACATGAAAGACCACAATTACTCATAGGGAAGTCCTTCAGGTTTATTCACTCTTCATTTACCCTGAATTTATTCATAATTCCACCAAGCTTGATGAACAGTGGCCAACCTCTCGCTGAACTTAAAAACTTTTGCAGTGGGTGAGACGGTCCCATGGATGTGAATAAGAAGAGAGAGCCAGGAGCATGACATGAGCAAGGTAAGTGCCAAAACAAAAAGAGAAAGCAGAGAACTAAACAAAAATCACGATGGTCCACAATCTTTAACAGTGGGGGGAAGTGGCTGGCCTCCAACACTGTGTCATTCCCGAGAAAACTGTACTGAGTTACTAAGATAAGATAATCGCTGTTCACAATAAGAACCTTGAGTCATTTCTTTAAAAAGGTGAACTCATGCATCCAACGTTCTACTTAAACAGGCTGGGGATTGTGTAATACATTTTAGAAAGTCATTCAGCATGAACAGTTAAAATTTTATTTTTTTAGATTTTTCGGGTTTTTTTATGTGAACCATTTTTTAAAGTCCTTATTGAATTTATTACAATATTGCTTCTGTTTTATATTGCTTCAGTTTTTTTGGCCACGAGGCATGTGGGATGTTAGCTCCCTGACCAGGGATCAAACCTGTACCCCCTGCACTGTAAGGCAGTCTTAAACTCTGGACCACCAGGGAAGTTCAATTAACATTTTAAAGAAGGGTTTTGTTTTCCTCTGATCTGAAAACCTATAGCTGGAACCTTTGATTCCCCAGCAAAGTCAATTAACAATGTATACTATAAGACTATTAAAAACAATACAGTTACTACATTGTTGTCTGTGTTTTATGTTCTGCCTGGCTAGATTCTTAAATGTCTTGGAAGCAGAGACAAGAAATTTCATTTTTATGTAATTCTGTTCTGAGTTTCACAGCATCTGGAGGCAAGTAAGAAATGTTCATTAATACTTAACAGTGTCCAGTACAAAAAGGTACTCAAATATATGCTAAACAAATGAAATTCAAGGTTAGTCTACAGGTCTGAGAGTATAAACGTTTAAATGTGAATTTAACATGTGGGTTGTGAAGCAGAAAGACACATGATTCAGAATTAAACGATGAAGCTGAGTCTTGGCATATGAATTCAACCTTTCTGAGCCTCAGTTTCCACTTTGGGTGCTTCTGTTACTCAAGTGTGTTATCTGTTTTCAACAACTGTAGTATTTTACAGCTAATTTATGTCTGCAGGCAGTTGAAATCTTACTTTAGAATTATCGACTAATTCTGAACTTAACTACTACACTTAACTGAACAAGTAGGTAGTATACATATTTGTCATTCAAAAACCACTTTAAACATAGGTAGCGACTTCTCTTTAACTTTTTTGGGGAAGCATTCTAATTCTCTCAGCAATCTCAGAAATTAGTCAGCAAATATTTCTATTCCTTCATGGAGGACCAAAAAAAAAAAGGGAAGTGACGTACCCAGAGGCATGCAGAAACTTATAATGAATACTTATCTAAACTACTTTTAAGGCAAGTTTTCTAGCCCAGGGGTCCTCAACCTCCAGGATCTAATGCCTGATGATCTGAGGTGGAGTTGATGTAATAATAATAGAAATAAAGTGCACAATAGATGTAATGCACTTGAATCATTCCAAACCACCTGCCCACCTCCCTGGTCCGTGGGAAACTGTCTTCCATAAAACCAGCGCCTGGTGCCAATAAAGTTGGGGACCGCTGCTCTAGCTGACATAAGGCTAGACTGTTGAGACAGTCTAAGTATATGTACCTAGAAAACAGTCCAAAGTATCTTTGGAAACACGTCGACAGTCAGAAGGAATCCAGAGTTCAGAATCCTAGCTCTGTCCAGGGAAAAACCACTAATTCTCACCCCTCCCCTACCTTTCGTTTCACAGATCATCACATTACTGAACTCGCTCTCTCCTCCTTCATTGAAGCATTGCATTTTAATATCATAGGAGGTTTCTGGCTGCAGGTGGCCAATCATGTGCCACTGCTTTGAACCTAGAAAGGAAAAATAGAAGATAAGCTTTAAATACCCCACAACATAAACAACAGAGTCAATAAAATTATTCAGTAATTTCAAAATGAAGTTGGAGCCGGAGCCATCACCATACAGTCAGTTTGAGCAATAAAAATGTCCTTATACTTTCAGCAATACACAACAGATGAATAGCATTTCTATTGCATGGTATGAAAAGAAATGGTAAAGAGAAGAGAGAAATTGAATTAAAGCTAAACCTGTCTGTGGGGATTCAGACTTTGTTTCATTACAAGTAATTAGTAGTAAGTCTTCCATAAAATACATATTCATTTTATGCATAAGTTAAAAGAAAACCCTCAAGTCCTTTGATCCCATACTTCAGCGAGCAAGTCAACCCACTCTGTTCATCCACCAGAAAGCAATGCCATGTATGAAGTCAGAAAACAATGTCTTTCCCATAATAAGTGACCAATACAAGACAGACCTCAGCAAAACTCTCAGTTCCACTCTAATGAGACACAGTGTGTGCGTGTGTGTGTGTGTGTGTGTACTCAGTCGTGTCTGACTTTTTGCATCCCCATGGACTGTAGCCTGCCATGCTCCTGGGTCCATGGAATTCTCCTAGCAAGAATACTGGAATGGGTTGTCATTTCTTTCTTCAGGGGATCTTTCTGACCCAGGCATGGAACCCGTGTCTCTGTGTCTCCTGCATTGCAGGCAGATTCTTTACCCCTGAGCCATCAGGGAAGTCCTCCAACGTATAAATGAATGTTCAAAAACCAAAGTCTACTATGGGAAGCTCTTGGCTACTGCTCCCATCATTTCCTTCCTTTTGAATCCGGGTCTCCAAACCACACAAGTAAAGAATGAGGCTGTGATCCGTGGCACACAGCCAGCATTTCATTTAGAAACTCTTCTACACTGAGCAACTTCATTATAAATCACTCTCTGTTTTTACTTCCGTGGACCTGTGACAAACTTTAATAAACAGGGACACGTCTGCCAGACTCAATGAACTCTTCAAGCACCTTTAATCCTTCTTAGAAAATACCTCTTCAAACTGTTTTCACTGTTTCTTAGAAACTCAACTATACCACCAACTGATTTAAGAGTCAATTAACGGGAGAGAAGAAAAAAAATAAATGAAACAAAACCATGCACACAAGTCAAATCGACTTGGCTGACAGAACCAATGGCTTCGGGATTCTTCCTGATTCAACACAGACAAAAACATCTCAACCCAGAAGCATACCCCTTTCCAGGCCACCAACACAAAGCCCCTCATTCATATTTTACAAGTCCCATATTTTATAAGGAAGAGAATCTGCTTACTTTAGGATCGAAGGACTATGAAAAACTCACAAGTGGGGAATTCTAGGCCCCATTTATAAGTGTAAAGAGGATCCTAAAAGAAACTTGACTCAAAATCTACTTGAGATAGGAACAGATCTATTTTTAAGTTCCAAAAACTGTGCTAAAAGACTTCTACTTTTTTCTCTATCTTTAGGTCTTTCCTGGCCCAGCCCCCCACTCATTTATCAACATTCACTTGAATAATTATTACACTAGATTTGAAGTTTTCCTTTCATAGCACTAATAAAAATGGCATTAAAGTAAGCTTCTGATAAGTCACTAGTAAGAGAAAATGAACTAATACATATCTTATTAGAATCCTATCCCATTGTTATTGGAATTATTCTGATTATAGGAAATATCACCAGAAAGGTTTTACAGGTCATTGACAAATAAGACACCTAAGTGTATTATTAGGTTTATAATGAACCAACCAGCAGGCTGTTTGCTCAGCAGGCAGATTTTTTCACCAAGAATGTTTTAGAAAAGGTAAAAAATGAAAGCACGGGCTTAAAGATCAGGATGACATACTCTGATTTACTTGGAACTTAATTTAATTTACAAGATTAAAATAATCATCACAAAAACACTGGTGTGTTCAAAACGTTTACAGCTTATCTAAACGTGGAACTTAATTCAAAAGGAAGGGTACCAGTATAATTGCTCTTCTCTTACTGTATATTCTTTAACAATGTAATTGCATTTCAAGGCTTAAACCATTTCGAGTTGATATACATAAGTAATCTAAAACTTTAAAGAAAACTTTATATATAAAGGATAAATACTTCTGTTTCTCGGCTCTGGAGAGCAAGCCAATAGTTTCCAACTGCCACAAAAAGAATTTCAAGTGCATAAACCTGAAAATAAGGAATAAGCAAATTACACAGCACAGTGAAGCCCACTTAAACAGCTAACTGCTCTATTACGTTCATAAACAAGTTCTCTGTGAACCACAGGCAAAGCTCGCATGTACAGATGCTGGTAATAGAAACAAAAGCTCCTTTAGAGGAATTTCCCAGCTCCACACTCCACAGGCGCAACACTCAAGTCTGTAAATGTTCAAAGATTTAGCTAGAGAATACAGAAAACGTTTCTCTGCGCATTTCTAGAGTTGAACCGGGAAGGGGAGGGGAGAGAGTGATATTGACAGAGACAGAGAGGGATGTTTGTTTCATTTATATTTGCCTTGTTTAGAATGACCTTCTAACGAAAGTGTAACCTCTCTCAAAAGATTTTAAAACTAAAAACCGGACAGCTCCACCTGCCTAATCGTGACACAACTAAAATGAAGACTGAGCCAGGACTACCGTGTAGATCGGTCACTAACAATCCTGTTTCCTTTCATGAACAGGCATATGAAAACGTATCCATCACTGTAGAGATGAATGGTCACATACACACAGCACAGCCGCGGGACCAGCACCCAGGTGAAGCAAGTGTTCCTGGCCCCCTTCCGGTTCCTTCCGGCCCTTGTTCCTTCCGGGAGCTTCCATCCTGACTTCACTGTATCTTTTTCGCCACTAACAATGATTTTTCCACACTTCCCCAAATCTTTATGAAGAAGGCGGGTTTGGGGTTTGGGGAACTGATTTCTTTCTCATTTTTCCAGATTAAGAAAAGAGAAACAATCACTCTTTCATTCAAAAAATATTTAGGGAGCACCTACTCTGTACCAGGTACTAAAATTTAGTTAACAGATTTTTCATCACATCACAAAAGTAATTCCACTGGATAAACAACAAAAAGAAAACCACAATATTTAAAGAAAACATGATGACACCTATTAAAAGTAATTTATTATAAGATTACTTATAGCAAAAAACTATTTGATGTTGAAAAGTCAGAGGAAAGTCACCTTGGCTTGGGAAAATTTTTTGAGACGGTTCATTAGGAGATTAATACTTCAAAAAAAAAAAGAATCTTAGAGTGAAAAAAGACCTCGGAAGAAGCCTTCCTCCCAAAGCAAGACTCTGTTCCAAGATACTACTGATAACCAGGTATCTAGCTTCTACTGAACACCTCCCAAATTCGGGAGTTTATTATTTTGTGCGGGAACCCATGTTAGAAATATGGCATGAAAGGGTCTCACACGATTTCCTTCTAGCTGCCCTCCTCCAACAGACTGAGTACCTCCTTCCACATCCTAGTCCTTAAATACTTGAAGACAGGACTTTCCCGGCGGTATAATGGTTAGGAGTCTGCCCGCCGATGCAGTAGACACGGGATTGATCCCTCACCCGAGAAGATGCCACATGCTGTGAAGCAACTAAGCACAGGTACCACAGCTACTAAGCTCACAAGCACCTGGAACCCGTGCTCGGCGAGGGGAGAAGCCCGCACCGCTAGACTAGAGAGTAGGCCCAGCTCCTGGCAACTGGAGAAAGCCCAGGCACAGCAACGAAGACCCAGAGGAGCCAAAGTGATAAATTAAAAAAAAAAACACAACTTGAAGACAGCTGTTCTGCTGCTGGCTACAATAGATGTCTTTTTTTCCAATCTGATCACCCTAGACACGCCACTATTCTTTTCTGGACTCTGAGCATTCACCCATTCATTCACTCAGTAAATACCAAACAACTCAACAGTGTAGGGCTTGGGATGCAGCCGTGAGAAAGAAGGCCCTCTGCCATGAGGAGATTAACATTTACTGGGAGAAGCAAATGTTAAGCAAATAATTTCATATACACACACATATGCAAAACTGAACTAGGATTCATATGTGCAAAATCTCTTCAGTTGTGCCTGACTCTTTGTGATCCTATGGACTGTAGCCTGCCAGGCTCCTCTGTCCATAGGATTTTCCAGGCAAGAATACTGGAGTTGGGCTGCCATGCCTTCTTCCAGGGGATCTTCCTGACCCAAGGATCAAACATGAGTCTCCTGCAGCTCCTGCATTGCAGGCAGATTCTTTACAGACTGAGCCACCAACCTCTCACTCTTCCAGGGTCCACTGTATTAAATTGGACAAATTAACTTTCTTTGGAAAAAATTCAAAGTAATAGTATATATGTCATTTCATTTTTTATTCTATTTTACCCTGGGATGTTTTCCATAATATTCATAAACCCTCTCCTTCCAAAACTCCCTTATTAAGACTCGAGCTTGTCCACGGCACTTACCTTCTACAATATCCCTCTTGTAATCACTGTCATTGTCACTATCCGTTGGCCGGTAATAGATATAAAATCCTTGGATGGGAGTGTTATTGTTACTCGATGGAATGTACTAGAAAAGAGAAGCAAAGACTTGTCAAAGACAAAAATAATGTAACTTTTACATCCATTAAGATTTATTTATCTGTGTGGCAGTGTTTTTTGAGCTTCATTTTATAGACATCCTTGATAGCCATTTAAAATTTAATTCAAAGGTATTCAAAGGTATTGAGAGCATTTTAGCTTGCTGCAGGGCTAAACAAAAATAAAGCAATATGTCTCACTTGGCTCAAAGACAAAAAAGTACATTGGGCTCAAAAGCAATAAAACACGAAATGGTGATTATGTTAATACTTGGATGAGAGCTGAAGAGACAATCATTTTATTAAAGCCCTGCCCCCTGAGCCTGGATGGGAGGGGAATTTGGGGGAAGAAGGGATATATGTGTATGTACAGCTGATTCCCTCTGCTGTGCATCTGAAACCATCACACTGTTGATCAGCTAGGAGTGTGTGTGTGCTAAGTCACCTCAGTTCACTTGTGTCTGACTCTGTTCAACCCCATGGACTGTAACCCCCCAGGCTCCTCTGGCCATGGGATTCTCCAGGCAAGAATACTGGAGTGGGTTGCCATGCCCTCCTCCAGGGGATCTTCCCAACCCAGGGATTGAACTTGCATCTCTTATGTCTCCTGCTTTGGCAGGTGGGCTCTTTACCAGTGGAGCACCACCTGGGAAGCCCCAATCAGTTAATACTCCATTATAAAATAAAAAGTGAAAAAAAAAAAAAAAACACCAAACCTGCCCCTCTTATACACAAATTTGTGCCCCTCAATTTCCTCTTACTTAAAAATTCAAAAATTTCCCATTCATAGTATCATGTCCCGATATTAAATTAACATGGCCACATCAGAAACTTTTGTCATTAGAGAAGATGTTTTACTTACCGTCCACTTTAGCATGATCTGAGTATCACTGACAGCTTCTGTGTATGCAATGTGAGGTCCAGTTATTGGACGGTTAGAAAAGCGATTGGGGAACCCAGCCACCTGGTACGGACGAGAAGCTGAACTCCGAAAACTCTCACCATAATGGTTGATAGCAATGACCCTAAATTTGTATGTTGAACCTTTTGAGGGACGGGAAAATAAACAGAATTTAAGGGACAATATTAAAAATACAACAATCGTACTTAAGCATCTCTCTGCAATAACAACGACATGCTCTAAAGCCTAGATGGTGAACAGATTTCAACCCACTTGCCAACTCCACTGGTACTGCATGCAATCACTGCGTGTGTTCAAGATTCCAATACCTTACTGGGGGTCCCTGGGAGAGACAGATGCTGTTCCTCATGGAAGGAAGCAAGGAGAGAAGAGGAAAGAGCACATTTCTTTTTCAACATCCTGTTCTAAAGTCATACCCATCAGATACAGGACTAGCTGGTGGTAATGGTGGTGGTGGTTAGTCACTACGTCGTGTCCCAGTCTTTGCAGCCCCAGGACTGTAGCCCGCCAGGCTCCTCTGTCCATGGGATTTCCCAGGCAAGAATACTGGAATGGGTTGCTGAAACTATTGGGTTGGCAAGAATACTTGTTTGGGTTTTTCCGTAAGAACATAGGAAAAATCCAAACGAACTTTACGGCCAATCCAATAGGTTTTTTTCACTTTGAAAGAAACAACTGAAGCGAAGTTTAACACAGGGAATACAGCTATGAAGAGGCACTTTGTGGCTGATCACAGATGTCACTCTGCTCCCTCTAATAAGAGGATAAGAAAGAGCAGATTTAGGCTACAACAGAAGGTATTTGTTTGGCTTAGATATTAAGAACTTAAAAAAAAAACTCTAAGCACTGTGAGTTTCTGAAAATCTGAATCTAAAGAATAAATTAGACCCCTAAAGCAAGTTTCACAAAAGCTCAAAAATAACCCCTGATCTTCTGAAAATAGTCCTTTCTATTTATAAAATGTTACTTAGCTTTTCTTATATTTAAAACAGCCACCTTCTCCCAACTGTACCTACCTATTCCTGAGCTCCTCCTGTTACCTGTCAGACAAACACGGGTTTTTGCTGCTAAAGTACATATAAAAGTCCATCAACAAAAACAGTCATGAAACCCAAACAAACAGAAGTAAGGAAAGTTGATTTGTGATTAGTGCTTTTCTCTTTGTGGTTTGTTTCACATATTAGGGGGTCTGGATGGGCTTCCCTGGTGGCTCAGATGGTAAAGAATCTGCCTGTAATGCAGGAGACCTGGGTTTGATCCCTGGGTTGGGAAGATCCCCTGGAGGAGGGCATGGCAACCCACTCCAGTATTCTAGCCTGGAGAATCCCCATGGACAAAGCAGCCTGGTGGGCTACAGTCCATGGGGTCACAAAGAGTCGGACATGACTGAGCAACTAAGACAGAGTGGGTCTGGAGAAGCTCCCCTGATGCTGAAACAAAACTTAACAGAACAAAGAGGTGTTGAATGTTGTCTCATATCCATAAAACAAAGTAGTGGGTTAAACCATGCTAAGATGAATCATCAGATCAATTGTAGTCAAATAACAAGCAATTTTCCTCTTAAAACATTCATTCATAGCAAAATAAATACACATACACACACACAAATATGTCACCACAACCCTACTTCCATTCATTTGCAGTTAGAAATAATCTAAAGCCCAGAAAGAAAGACTAGGTTAAGTCAATAATGATATACTTACATGATAGATACCCAGTTATTAAAAACTGAGTTCTGAAGAATTGTTAATTATGATATAACACGGGAAAAGGGGGTCACAAGACAATATTTATGGCATGATCCCAATTTGTATTAGAAAGGAAAAAAGACTAGAAAGAAATACAACATAATATAAACAATGGTCATCTCTAGATGGGTGGGTTTGGGGTAAGTATTCTCTTTTTATACTTTGCTTTCAAATTTTTATACAATAAGCTCACATTACTTTAACAATTGGAGGAATATAAGATTATTAAAATATGCAATTAGGGATTTCCCTGGTGGTCCAGTGGTTAAGACTTCCCAATGCAGGGGACACAGATTGGATCCCTGGTCAGGAAACTAATATCCTACATGCAGCAGGCATGGTGGAAAAAAAAAAAAAAAAAGACAAATATGCATCTAAAGTCAGCATTGATGTTCTAAAACAAAATGTTTGAATATAACTACCTGGCTCTAAACTACGAACTTCCACAGAAAGCTTAGAAGGAGGGATGTCTTCAGCTGCCACCAGCCAATCACTAGTCCTCATCCGTTTATATTCGACCTTGAAGGCAGTGATTGGAGAGCCCCCGTTGGCCCGAGGAATCCATGTGACATAGACAGACGTCTCTGATGCAGTGGAGATAGTAGGCCGGTCAGGTGCCTCTGGGACTGAAAATGGAAACATTCATTTTGATAACCCTCAGCATCAGAGACAAGAATTACTCAAATGAACTGAAAGGGGTAAATCCCAAATATCACTTTATTAAAGGCTCTTCACCAGAGTTGAAATACTTGCTAGAGTTAATAACATTATGACTATCTTTCTGTACTCTGAAAAGTTAATGTGCAATGAAATAGAAGAAGTAGCAGGAAAAGTGAGATAATTTATAAACTCGATAAGTATCTCTGAAAATCTGAAAGTTAATGAGTATGATCACTGAGGCATGCTAAGACAATATAAGTAATTATTATTTGGTGCTTCAAGTCTGACTGTGGTAATAATTTACAGTAAATTTTCTTTTTTTTTTTTACAGTAAATTTTCAAAATGTTGTGTTATTTAAATGGTTTTCTTTATCCAAGCAAGCTATAGAAAACATATTCAGCCAACAGTCTATAGATTTTTCTATTTATTAGCTCTTATGATCATAGCCTGTCAATAATCAGCAATGTAGCTATTACTATTGTACGTATATTAACGCACTTCAAAGCTACAGGAATGCTAGTCCAGAAAACAGACTGCAAACAGTAAACAGAGATAAACTGAACCGATAAAATCAATACTGATAAAAAGGAAGCCAGATTCACAGTTAAATAAAGACAAGTGTTATCAGGAAACATGGTCCACGTGATCATCCACATGAACCTGTAGGAAAGGACGGTCAGAGAGCCAACACCTGGCAGCTTGTGGTTAGCATGGCCAAGGGGAGGGACGTCCCAGCCCACAGATGAGACGGTCTTGATTCCATGGCAAGCGGAAACCTCAGGAGTGAGCTCATCATTTAAACTGTGTACCCAACACGTGTCCCTAACTGCTGGCCAAGCAATTTTGTGGTTATAGCTGGCTTCCCACTTGGCCCCTACAAAGCAAGGATGCGGACAGAAACAACCTGGTCTGTGTGACAGTGAGAAAGCAGTAAACCACCATCCCACGTTACATTAATCACCTGGGGATTTTGGTTTTCAAGAAGACCGACTACCCTTCCACACACTAACCATCACGTTTCTAGAGTTAGAACAAGGAGGACCAGCTCTGGACCACGGTTAATTGTCATCGTTTTAGTCGCTAACTCATGTCTGACTTTCTGCAAACCCTGCCAGGCCCCTCTGTTTGCGGGATTTCCCAGGCAAGGGTACTGGAGTGGGTTGCCATTTCCTTCTTCAGGGGATCTTCCCGACCCAGGGATCGAACCCATATCTCCTGCATCAGCAGGTGGATTCTTTTTTGCTGAGCCACCAGGGAAGCCCCCACAGTTACATGACTTCAATGAATTACTCAGGAAGCCCCATCTCTGTCTAGCCTGGGTCTGGCCTCCACCAACACCTCTCTGTCTCAACATCTCTTCAATCTGAATACAAACACATAACAAAGTAATGTTGCATATGGTGCCTGTATGAAGAAATTTGTGGCATTTTAAAAACAAATTGTTTAATGGATGAAAAGATGAATGCATTCAAAGCAGGCAACTTGGCATGATACTTACTGTATTCCTTTCAAGTTAGAAAGCAATGGAAACAGAATGAATAGGAGTTAGTGAATCTCTCTTTTAACACGAAGATAACAAAACAACTTCCTCTGCTGATTTAAATGAGGTTAAAACTCATAAAGAATACCACAGACCAAGTAGAAAAAGAACGTTATTAGGGGAAAGTCCCTAAAGAGAAGAATACCATCAATACTCAAAAGAAACAGCATGTGAAAGGAGATAAAGAATACTGCTCTTGGAGTCTAACTGTCTGACTGTGGATAGCAGTTCCACCGCTCTCTGGGTGACCTTAGGCAAGTTCCATAACCCCCTTGAGTCCCAGTTTCCTGATTTGTAATATGCTGATTCTCCCTTCCTCACAGGGTTATTGTGAAGATTAAATAAATCATTTCTTTATGGTTATCTCTGCTTGGATAATTGTGTTATTTAAATGGTTTTCTTTATCCAAGCAAGCTATAGAAAACATATTCAGCCAACAGTCTATAGATTTTTCTATTTATTAGCTCTTATGATCATAGCCTGTCAATAATCAGCAATGTAGCTATTACTATTGTACGTATATTAACGCACTTCAAAGCTACAGGAATGCTAGTCCAGAAAACAGACTGCAAACAGTAAACAGAGATAAACTGAACCGATAAAATCAATACTGATAAAAAGGAAGCCAGATTCACAGTTAAATAAAGACAAGTGTTATCAGGAAACATGGTCCACGTGATCATCCACATGAACCTGTAGGAAAGGACGGTCAGAGAGCCAACACCTGGCAGCTTGTGGTTAGCATGGCCAAGGGGAGGGACGTCCCAGCCCACAGATGAGACGGTCTTGATTCCATGGCAAGCGGAAACCTCAGGAGTGAGCTCATCATTTAAACTGTGTACCCAACACGTGTCCCTAACTGCTGGCCAAGCAATTTTGTGGTTATAGCTGGCTTCCCACTTGGCCCCTACAAAGCAAGGATGCGGACAGAAACAACCTGGTCTGTGTGACAGTGAGAAAGCAGTAAACCACCATCCCACGTTACATTAATCACCTGGGGATTTTGGTTTTCAAGAAGACCGACTACCCTTCCACACACTAACCATCACGTTTCTAGAGTTAGAACAAGGAGGACCAGCTCTGGACCACGGTTAATTGTTGTCGTTTTAGTCGCTAACTCATGTCTGACTTTCTGCAAACCCTGCCAGGCCCCTCTGTTTGCGGGATTTCCCAGGCAAGGGTACTGGAGTGGGTTGCCATTTCCTTCTTCAGGGGATCTTCCTGACCCAGGGATCGAACCCATATCTCCTGCATCAGCAGGTGGATTCTTTTTTGCTGAGCCACCAGGGAAGCCCCCACAGTTACATGACTTCAATGAATTACTCAGGAAGCCCCATCTCTGTCTAGCCTGGGTCTGGCCTCCACCAACACCTCTCTGTCTCAACATCTCTTCAATCTGAATACAAACACATAACAAAGTAATGTTGCATATGGTGCCTGTATGAAGAAATTTGTGGCATTTTAAAAACAAATTGTTTAATGGATGAAAAGATGAATGCATTCAAAGCAGGCAACTTGGCATGATACTTACTGTATTCCTTTCAAGTTAGAAAGCAATGGAAACAGAATGAATAGGAGTTAGTGAATCTCTCTTTTAACAGGAAGATAACAAAACAACTTCCTCTGCTGATTCAAATGAGGTTAAAACTCATAAAGAATACCACAGACCAAGTAGAAAAAGAACGTTATTAGGGGAAAGTCTCTGAAGAGAAGAATACCATCAATACTCAAAAGAAACAGCATGTGAAAGGAGATAAAGAATACTGTTCTTGGAGTCTAACTGTCTGACTGTGGATAGCAGTTCCACCACTCTCTGGGCGACCTTAGGCAAGTTCCATAACCCCCTTGAGTCCTATTTTCCTGATTTGTAATATGCTGATTCTCCCTTCCTCACAGGGTTATTGTGAAGATTAAATAAATCATTTCTTTATGGTTATCTCTGCTTGGATAACACCAAACTCATGATTGCCAGAACAGAATCCATAACCTTCAGCAACAAATTCTTATCACCTATCCTGGTAAATAGTTCAAGTTGCCCAAGTCACCGTATTTCTCACTTTCATTCAGTGAGGATTCAGTTCCCTTCATCTCTTGTCTGTGTCCTTCTCCATCCACATTGTCACTGCCTGTATTTCCAAGCCTCATCTGATGCCACTCCCCCATCCCATCTCTAAAATCCTTGGGCTTCTTCATAGCTTTTAGGGAAAGACTGAATCTTTAAGGACATCATACAAGGCAACTGCTTTCCTCTCCCACTGTAGCATGATTCCCCATAGCACTAAATAAAATCTCTGAATCTCTAAATGAAATAGAACATGTCCTTCATCTGTCTCTGCATGAGAGGTCTCTGCCTAGAACTGTTTCTCCTGCTTCTTCATTCAGCTATAACATTCTTGCCTTTGAAGCTTAGCTTAGGAAACATCTCTTACCGCCAGCCACTGGGCCTCCTTCCTATCAAGTAAGTGATTTACATAAATCTCTTGTGAAATGTTTGATTCCAAGGTAGAATCAAAACCATCGTTGCTGGTTAATCTATCTTCCCTGCTATATTGGTATTGGTTTAGCTGTCTGCATCATCTCCTATACTGTAAGCCTCTCCAAGGGCAAGATTTATTTGATCTCTGCTGTTTCAGCATTTACTGCAGTGTATTAATTCATGAGGTTTTTGTTCTTCTGATCTCAAAGGTGAAAGGACTCAAGAAAAAGCAGCTCATGATACTGAAGACGCAGAGGCACTCCACAGAGGTGTTCAAATGTTATGACTTGCTTCTGTCTGAGACCAACGCATGGAAGACTATAAAAATAGGGAAGAGAAGCTTGAAAATTCTTAGCGCTCAGTAATAAAATGTTAAGCCTTCCCTAGATCACAAAAAGCACATTATGTTGTAACGGGAGAATTCATGTATGATTAAATACTAAAAAGAAGTCTTAAAAATCTTATTGCTATGACATCTAAACACTGTAAGATCAACATGATATAACAATAAAGCTGAGAATGACATGCAATCATTCACTAAAAAACTAAGTCATGCTATAGGTACCATGATATATTTTGACAAATCATTAAAAAAAACAAGTCAGATGTTCAGGGTTCCAATGTAAATTTGGTTTCCATGCCAGACAGGAGACAGAAAAATCCTTTTTGTGAGTTCTAAAAACTTAGTATCATAACATTTGAAGTCTGAGTTTATTACTTTGAATATCAGTCATGGTACTGGGTATTCAAGATTTCAAATTCAAGACATTTTAAAATGGTTGAAATAAAATCTAAAAGAGCTATATGGTAGGATATAATTTGAATAATAAATATTCTGTCCTACTCCACCCCCTAATAACCTGAAACAGGTCAGTTACATTTGGAAACAAACAGAATAATAAATGAAGAATCTTCTCCTTACCTCCACTATGCCTAGAGGAATCTGTGAGCACCACTCCGAAGTTGTCTGCAGCCTCTGAAACAACAGGGCTCTTAGGGATGCCCACAGGTGGAGAGGAGGCCTGGGTATTTTTGGACGATGCTGTTTTCTCTAGAAAGGTAAAATATAACGTGATGTAATACGAATAAGCTTCTATGCATAAGTAAGAAAAGATACTAGGAAACTCAGCTCAGTTCAGTTCAGTCGCTCAGCCATGTCCGACTCTTTGAGACCCCGTGAATCGCAGCATGCCAGGCCTCCCTGTCCATCACCAACTCCCAGAGTTTACTCAAACTCATGCCCATCGAGTCAGTGATGCCATCCAACCATCTCATCCTCTGTCGTCCCCTTCTCCTCCTGCCCCCAATCCCTCCCAGCATCAGGGTCTTTTCCAATGAGTCAACTCTTCACATGCGGTGGCCAAAGTACTGGAGTTTCAGCTTCAGCATCAGTCCTTCCAGTGAACACCCAGGACTAATCTCCTTTAGGATGGACTGGTTGGATCTCCTTGCAGTCCAAGGGACTCATGAAACTCAACTGGTATATAAATATATGAACTTATCTGTTACAGTGTCTAAATTTAAAACCTACATTGTAATTACTTAGCTAAAGGAGGAATTAACTTGAAAAGTTACTTTGCTTTTTCTAGTACCTATAACAAAAATGTGTCTCTCTTCACCAGGGTAGCTTTAATTTACACACATAAAAAATGACACAAATGAAAAAGCCAAATGACTATAATAAAGATTTTCAAATTATTCACCCACTTTTATTTTTACTGTACATATTTCTTAGTTCTGATGCAGAAAATTCATTATTTAAGAGCTTCTGTTAAGTTTCTTCATGCAAAACCTGTCATGCTGTTTTAAAATTTCAAGGGGCAAAAAATGAAATTGAGTGATTATTTTAGAACTGAAATACATGCTCATTATTCAGTATTTGCAGGTCAGACTGTATAAACAACCAAGGACTAATTATGGGTAATAACTCAAAATACTTTTCAAATAAGAAATACTCATCATTTTTCTGGCCAGACACAGTAATTAAATAAAAGGATCTTTTTCAAAAGCCAAAGACAATTTCTTTTCAATCATCAGAACTCCTTTCTAATACTGTGCCACACCAAAAACTCTTCTGTCCAATTCCCGTCTCTGCTCATGGAAGTCTTTTTGTTCATTTATGGCCAACCTGCGATGGCATCTTTTTAAATTTTTTATTTTATTTATATATTTATGACAGTGCTGGGTCTTTGTTGCTGTGCAGGCTTTTTCCCAGTTGTGGCGAGTAGGGCCTACTCTCTAGCCGCAGTGGATGGGCTTCTCATTGCGGTGGCTTGGCTTCTCTTGCTCACGGGCTCCAGGGCACACAGGCCTCAGTAGTTGTGACTCCAGGGCCCTGGAGCACAGGTTCACCAGCTGCATGGGTTTCGTTGCTCCGAAGCATGTGGGATCTTCCCAAACAGGGATTGAACTTGTGTCTCTTGCATTGGCAGATGGATTCTTTACACTGAGCCACCAGTGAAGCCCGGAAATGGCATCTTCTCAATCAAGCTACCTTGAGAAACTAGGTGGGCTTCCCATGTAGCTCAGTCAGTAAAGAATATGCCTGCAATACAGGAGGACCTGGGTTTGATTCCTGGGTTGGGAAGATCCCCTGGAGAAGGAAATGGCAACCCACTCGTTTTCTTGCCTGGAGAATCCCATGGACAGAGGAGGCTGGCAGGCTTACAGTCCATGGGGTCTCAAGAGTTGGACATGACTGAGCAACTAAAGCACCACCACCACCCTCACAAACTACCCCACAGAAGACTATCCTCTGGCATCTTGTCTTGCCTAGACCATGTCAGATCTGGTCCCTCCCTATTCCTCTGCCCTCCTCCAGTCTATCCTTACCCTACAGTCAGCAAGGCCCTATAGCCAGCATTGAAACACACAAGAGACAGTGTCACAACTCTGCTCAAAACCCTCCAATGCTCCCAGTTCACTCAGGTTCGAAGTCGGTGTCCCTGCAGGTGGGACAATGTGCTGATGATCATCCATCTCCCTGAGCGTTCTCCCCTCCCCACTTACTTTACTCCCATCACTGTGGGAGTGCTCCTGGGAACCCTCAGTGATCCTTGGAAACGCCAAGCACACCCATGTGCTATCCTCTCTACTGGGACATTCTAGTCCCAGATACTCACATGGGTTTCCACACACCTCCTTAAAGTTCTGCCCTGCTGTCAACTGCTCAATTCTCTGGCTACCTGTTCAAACTGTGACAACTGCTACTGCCCCATGTGCATGCATGCTAAGTTGTTTGAGTCATGTCTGACTCTTTGTGACCCTATGGACTGTAGCCCACCAGGCTCCTCTGTCTATGGGAGTCTCCAGGCAAGAATACTGGAATGGGCTGCCATTTCCTCCTCCAGGGGATCTTCCCAACCCAGGGATCAAACCCACATCTCTTAGGTCTCCTGCATTAGCAGGTGGATTGTTTACCACTAGCATCACCTGAGAAGCCCATGCTACACCCATCCCTTAATTTATTTCTCTTGTTAACACTCACCACCTACTAATGTTCTTATAACTTATGTGTATACTTCTCCCAACTNCAGGTGGATTGTTTACCACTAGCATCACCTGAGAAGCCCATGCTACACCCATCCCTTAATTTATTTCTCTTGTTAACACTCACCACCTACTAATGTTCTTATAACTTATGTGTATACTTCTCCCAACTAGAATGGAAGCTCCATGACAGCAAATGAGTATTATCTATTTTGTTTACTGCCTGGCACTGAGAAGTCATTCAGTAAACACTAGCTGAACTTAAATTTTGCCTTGAGTTGGCATTTATGTATATGTCTTACATTTCTTAGCAAAGTAGAAGCTTTATCAGGATGGATTTTGTCTTGATTATCCTTGTTTTCCCTGTGTCCCTTGACCTAACGCCTTACCTATCATGCTGCTGCTGCTGCTAAGTCACGGCAGTCGTGTCCAGCTCTGTGTGACCCCATAGACGGCAGCCCACCAGCCTCCTGTCCCTGGGATTCTCCAGGCAAGAATACTGGAGTGGGTTGCCATTTCCATCTCCAATGCATCAAAGTGAAAAGTGAAAGTGAAGTCGCTCTTTCGTGTCCGACTCTTAGCAACCCCATGGACTGCAGCCCACCAGGCTCCCCCGTCCATGGGATTTTCCAGGCAAGAGGACTGGAGTGGGGTGCCATTGCCTTCTCCTACCTATCATAAACCCTCAAAAATATCCGTGAAATGCTAGATGGACTAGAAGAATAAAACCATCTAAATGTGGCCCCAAGAGGTACTATAATAGGTTTATTTAGTATATTTATATATAAGAAACTTTGCTACCCCAAAATGACACTAATTATTAAAAAGTGACATCAATACAGCCAATTCCCTCCTCTTAAGGAAGATTATACTCACCCTTGCTGGTTCGGAAGGTGAGCATGGCAGGCTGTCCTTCCCCGGCTGCACTCCTCGCCACCATCAAAACTTCGTAGAGACTTGATGGCTCCAGTTCCGTTAAATGGAGCTCATTCTCACTTCCTGGGACTCGAACTGTGTGCCAGCTCCCCACGACACCAACACCATCCTCCAGCTACCCAAGCGAAAACAAGGCATTTTTCAAAAAATGGAGATACAGGGCAGAAAATCTTCCCATTTCAATTGGGTAAAAACTAGAAGTCCTTAAATTCCAAAATGAATTTGGGGAAGTGATATACAGTCAGAAGTGAAAGAGACACAGTACCTCTTCCAATTAAGAAACAGAAGGAGACCTATAGTGAGAACTTTGGGATCCTCACTGTTTTTGAAAAAGAGTACTGCTTCATCAGCTGCCGCTAACGTATGGCCTCAAGTAAGTTACTTGATTACCCAGTTGTTTCCTCGTAATGGAAACATTGCTCCTTTCTTACTGAGCTAATGGGAGAATTAAATAAGTAAACAATAATACGTATTAATAATAATATACAATATACACAATACCTGATAAATCATAGTTCATGTTTATGTCTGTATAAATTATGCAATTATGCATTACATATTTCTAACAGTCTTGCTTCATGTCTTTACACTGTTCAGTGAGTTGAAAGAAAGAATCCAATCTGTTATGCCTTCATTAACAAAACCAAGAGCCAACATTCATGGAAGTTTCCATGTGGACAGGGTTACCAGTGAAACTTCCTTCATCTAGAATCACCAAGTTAAAAACAGTGAATAAACTTTCAAGTATCATTATGTTAATTTTTCCAGATATTAAAAATATTACTGGAGGGGAAGAAATGGAGTGGGAGGCTGGACCAGCAGACGTAAGCTTTTACACATAGGATGGAAAAACAACAAGGTCTTACTGTATCGTACAGAGAACTAGATATTCAATATCCTATAATAAACCATAATGGAAAGGAAAAAATATTTTTTAAAAATGTATATATAGGGATAACTGAATACCTATGCTATANAAGAAAACAGCTGTCAAGTTACCCGGTTCTTAAAATCCCAATCTGGGTGCGGTTATTTGTACTTCATTCTCACTGCTTTTATAAGACTGGTAAACCCAGCATGACTGCTGACTCTCTCCCAAACTCCTCGCCCTGGGATCCTCCTGTTCTGTTTGCTGCCACTCCACAAGTGTGAAAGATAATAAGTACGTGTTATACACAGGATGTGAAGACGTGAGAAGAGAAAGATCGCAAATGACAAGACATTACCTTTCGGTACTTCACGAAATAGGCATTGATGGGCAGCCCGCCATCCTTCCCTGCCCTCCAGACCAGGTTGTAGGTGTCTGGTGTGTGTGTCTGAGGGGGGCTCAGAATGATGGGGGCGTCAGGGACAGAGGTGCCACTAGCATTTTTCTCTGATGATGATTCCTTGGCACTGGAATGTTCTTTCACCGGAAATGAGCTCAATGATCCAGTTTCTGAATCATCACTTTTATCATTCTGAGTGGGATCAGAAGCTGTGACTATTTCTGCTTTGGTGTCTGTCTCAAAAGGAACTGCAGAGAAAGAGAGGATATTGAAGAAATGCATTATTTCAGGGTCTCTCACATAGTATGCTGTCATCTAACACAATGTTAGCACAATTTGAGCCCTAGTAATTAAAACAGAGAACATTTCAACTTATAATTCATGGAGACAACTAATCTCCAGTTGCTGTCATTCAGTCACTAAGTCATGTCCGACTCTTTGCGACTCCATGGACTGCAGCATACCAGGTTTCCCTGTCCTTCGATATTTCCTGGAGTTTGCTCAAGTTCATGTCCATTGAGTCGGTGATATTATCTAACCATCTCATCATTTGTCATCTCCTTTTTCTCCTGCCCTCAATCATTCCCAGCACCAGGATCTTTTCCAAGGAGTCACCTCTTCACATCAGGTGGCCAACATATTGGAGCTTCAGCATCAGTCCTTCCAATGCATATTCAGGGTTGATTTCTTTTAGGATTGACTGGTTTGATGTCCAGTAGCTATTTACTATTCATGAAGGAGCAAATTAATTTTCTGAAAAAGCAGTTCTACAATGCAGTAGTTTAGTAGCTAGTACTAGTGCTAAGTTGCTTTAGTCATTTCTGACTCTTTGCGACCCTGTGGACCACAGTCCACCAGATTCTGTTCAAGGGATTCTTCAGGCAACAATACTGCAGTGGGTTGCCATTTCCTCCTCCAGGGAATTTTCCCAACATAGGGATCAAACCCACGTCTCTGATGTGAAAGGATGCTATTTTCCCCTGCTCTATGCTAGCGTTCCCTCTTTTACAACAACAACTTGCTAGTGTAACCTCTGAAGATTTTAAGTTGGTGAACAAGGAACGTTTACTCTTAATTGGTAAATGAAACACAATGAGTAATGCATTCCCTTGGGAACAAAATAACACAAGTAGCAAAGAAAAGATCAAGAGTTAGACCATTACCTACTGGGTAGCTAGTCCCCAAAGGTCCCCTAGTATTCACACCCTTGGNTCCCCAAAGGTCCCCTAGGATTCACACCCTTGGGCAGTCCCCTCCCACGCTGAATCGGGCTACCCTGTGAGTGGCTTTTTTTTTTTTTAAATATGGAACGCTTCACGAATTTGCGTGTCATCCTTGCGCAGGGGCCATGCTAATCTTCTCTGTATCGTTCCAATTTTAGTATATGTGCTGCCAAAGCGAGCACCTGTGAGTGGCTTTAACCAATGCCAAGCCCAAGAGAGGCTGTGGTCTTCCAGGCTTAAGCCTTAAGAAGGCCTGGCACCCCTACCAGAGTGTTAACCACATACAGACGTCCAAGCTAGCCATGGAGAGAAGTGACCAGGGAAGGGAGAGAGGGAGGAAGGCAGAAAAATGGAGGGCGGTGGGAGGGAGAGGAGGGGATGCGGGTGGAGTCCAGCCCTCACAAATATGCCACATGTGTAAGTGAAGCTACTTCGGCTGTTTCAGCCCCAGGTGCTATCTGATTACAAAGGTCTAAAAGACCAAGCAAGGCCCACAGAATGGCCCACTGTATCCAGTTAACCCACAGACCTGTAAGGTAATAAAGGACCTGTTAAGTCGTTCATCAGATATAACTACCCCCAAAGATGGTTTTTCCAGTAGTCATGTACGGATGTGAAGGTTGGACTGTAAAGAAGGCTGAATGCTGAAGAATTGATGCTTTTGAACTGTGGTGCTGGAGAAGACTCTTGAGGGTCCCTTGGACTGCAAGGAGATCAAACCAATCAATCCTAAAGGAAATCAATCCTGAATATTCATTGGAAGGACCGATGCTGAAGCTGAAGCTCCAATACTCTGGCTACCTGATGCAAAGAACCGACTCATTGGAAAAGACCCTGATGCTGGGAAAGATTAAAGGCAGGAGGAGAAGGGGACAACAGAGGACGAGATGGTTGGATGGCATCACTGACTCAATGCACATGAGTTTTCAAAAGCTCCAGGAGATGGTGAAGGACAGGGAAGCCTGGCAAGCTGTAGTCTGTGGGGTCGCAAAGAGTCAGACATGGTTGAGTGACTGAACAACAACAAAAGATGAACAACTTAACACCTGGGCTTCCCTGGTGGCTCAGATGGTAAAGAATCCGCCTGTAATGCCGGAGACCTGAGTTTGATCCCTGGGTCGGGAAGAAGGGAATGGCAACCCACTCCAGTATTCTTGCCTAGAGAATTCCATGGACAGAGGAGCCTGGCAGGCTACGGTCCCTAGGGTTGCAAAGAGTTAGACAAGACTGAGCAACTAACACTTTCACTGCATACAACAACGTAACTAACTACCTCTTCTATACTTGGAAGACAAGTCAGTGACAAGAGCAAGGAAATGAAACAAGACTAGCAAAGGTAAAGGAAGAAGTTACTTGTTTCCAATTTTTTTTTCTGGATAAAATGGAAGGTTGCCTTAAGAAACTGCCAGTCTGTATCATAGTAAGCTAAATAAGAAAAAGGCAAATACCACAGAATATCACTTATGTGCAGAATCAAAAATATGACACAAATGAACTTATCTACAGACACAGAGAACAGACCTGTGGTTGCCAAAGTGAAAGCAGAGTGGAGGAGGGATGGACTAGTCGCTTGGTGTTAGCCGAGATGCAAAGTATTATATACAGAATAGATAAACAACAAGGTCCTACTGTATAGCACAGGGAACTATATTCAATATACTGTAAAAAACCAGAATGGAAAAGAATATGAAAAATGTATTATATGGATAACTAAATCACTTTGCTATACAGCAAAAATTAACACGACACTGTAAATCACCTATTCTTCAATAAAATAAATTTTTAAAAAACTGCCAATCTAAAAACAGCCTTAATATTCACTACTAAGAATGTACAGAATACATAGAGGAAGGTAAAAATAATTTATTTGTGCTGAAAAAAATAAATAGGTCACCTACACCCAAAAAGAATTACAGAGCACATATTATGTGCTCAGCATGGAGCCAGACATTAAATAACCATCATCTCATTTAATTCTCCAAACAACATTCTTAGGAAGATAGTAATACTTCCGTTTTACAGATGAAGAAACTTGGGTTCTGAGAGATTAAGAGACAACAGCTGGCAGAAGAATGTTAGCGGTGCTGCCATGAAAAAATGAGAGAGCAATTTATGAAAACAAATAAACTGCCAAGACAATAAAACCCGAGGATTGACAGCCTGGTCCCTCTAAAATGCTATTAATACAGACAACAAAAGGTCTCCTACTTCTGCGAAGGAAGGGAGCCTAGGAAACAACAGCAGAGTCTCTTTTCCACAATGAAGTCAGATTCCTGGTAAAAGGTGGGAGTATTTTTAGAGCGACTGCAGCTTCATAGAGAACCAACCAGAAAACAGGGCTAACAGTGGGAGGTCAGTTCTGTTTGTTTAAAAGAGAGAAAAGGTGTCCCAGAAGCTTTCTCCATCAAAGAAAACAAGAAGCTAGTGGAAAAATAAGATAGAAGAAAATTAATTAAGTTCCCTGAGACAACTTCCAAATATTGCTCCTGGAACAGGCCTGTTTACTTAGTGAGTCAGAATGAGGGCTGGATGTGAAGGGTGTGGCTGGGAGCCTGCTAATGCAGAGATGGATTCTAGCAAGTGGAGGCAATTAGTTGTGGCTTAGGGCAGTGGAGAAGGACCTTTTTATCATTAGTGTTTCATGCATCCTCTGGGCAGGTCACCACTGGGAAGTGGTATTTGGCTGTAGAAGAGTTTGAATACCACATGCCGCAGTTTATACAGAGGCATGAGAAGAATGCAATGTTACAGCCTGTGTCTACTGCAGGAGTATCAAAATTCCACTTGTGTTATTCGGGCTGCAAAGAGACTTTTCCGTAACTTTTATTGAAAAGGAGATGCAATTAATTTTCTTCTACTGTTCCCAACAGCACAATTAGAGTGCTCACAAGATGCTAGATACAATGCATAAAGCCTTCACAGTACTTTCCAAAGGTTCTTCACATCCATGATCTCAATTGACCTTCAAAGCAACTCTTTTTCGAAAAGACCTGATGCTGGGAAAAGATTGAGGGCAAGAGAAGAAGGGGGCCACAGAGGATGAGATGATCAGATGGCATCACTGACTCAATGGACACAAGTTGGTAAAAATTCAAGGACACAATGAAAGACAGGGAAGCCTGGTGTTCATGGAGTCGCAAAGAGTTGGACATAGTGACTGAACAACAACTCTTTTTATCGTCAAAACAACTTTGAAATGGTCATCTAAAAGAGATATCTAGCATTTTTTAAGATAGAATTTTTTTTTGAATTGTAAAAGAGATGGATAAAACACTGGCTTTCTGAGTACTATGACAGTGGCCATGTTTATGAGTTAATGACTCTGAGTTGAAACCAAGTCAACAGGAACAGAACCAAATCTGCCTAAGTGGTTCCCCCTGTGACCACTCAAACCAGCAACCCCACCCCAAACTATTTAGGACCCTAGGCCAATTCTCATTATAGTTTTGAAGAGTTACAACTCACTCTACAAATATTTGTATATCCAGAACCTCAAAAACCAAGGTCTCTGGGAAGAAAAAAAGGTGAGGGAGTGATTCATCTTGCTTACTGCCCTCTTCACAATAAACAATGTAAAGACTGTCAGCATGCTAGAGTTTAACAATAGGCTCAGACTTCCAGGGGAAGAACTGGGTTGTTATATGCTGTTTTGAGCTTTAACAGACTCAGCTAGACTTTGATCATTAATGTGGAGCATGTAAAAGGCACAGTGGAGGCCCACTCAGGCAGGATGTGGTGCATGGGGTTACTGTACATCACAAAATGAGGCTTATCAAGACATAAAATCCCGGGGGTGAGGGGGATCTTCAAAACCTAAAAATATCTCCTCTAAACAAATTACGTATCTTCCAATAACTTCAGATTTCTCATATTTAAAGTGAGGCAGTTAGGGGGCCTTCCTGGTGGTGCAGTGGTTAAGACCCTGCACTTCCAATGCAGAGGTCTTGGGTTCGATCCCTGGGTCGGGGAATTAAGATCCGACATGACGTGGTATGGCCAAAAAAATTAAAAATTAAATAAATGAGTAAGTAAAGTGAGGCAGACAACTAGACACTTACTTTGTGCCAACAGCTATGACTGTGATGTCTACCGCTCCATCTTCCCCTTATTTACATAAAATGACCACTTCAGCAAATGCTCTGTCCTAGCGGTACCTGCATTACACATCTTGCAGCTAACAATTTTGAGCTGAGCCGCTCCTATTTTTGCTTGGCAGACTGATACATAAACACACACATGTATATATACATATACACATCCATAAGTGTGTATAAATTTATGCAAACCTTAACTACCTTCTATACTTAAGGATTCTTTGAGGTTTACTAAAATCAGGAACTACTTCTTCATTCCTTACACACTACCACGAAGTGTTAGTTGCTCAGTTGTGTCCAACTCTTTGCAGCCCCATGGACGGCAGCCCTCCAGGCTCCAATCCATGGGGATTCTCCAGGCAAGACCACTGGAGTAGGTTGCCGTGCCCTCCTCCAGGGGATCTTCCCAACCCAGGGATTGAACCTGGGTCTCCTGCTTTGTAAGCAGATTCTTACCATCTGAGCCACCAGGGAATCATAAGGGATAATTATAATTTAATAATAATTAGATATCAATAATTATAACCCAATACTTAGTATTTATTAAAGGCTTTCTAGTAATACTTCCAGACACTGTTCTAAGCACTTTACAGATATAGTCTCCTGGAATTCTCACACCAGCCCTATGAGTAGGGCACCTTCACTAATGCCCACTGATATCAGATTTGATTGTGAATTAAGTCAAATCTGAATTAATTTGAATAATATTGATATTCTATATACCAGTACTCCAAATTAAGTCATCATTGCCCCACGTCAATAAAAATATAAAGAATAGCATACATCTTGTTAGAAAAATAACTTTGAAGAAGGAAGAGGGAAATATATAGATGAGGACTTCCCTGGTGGCTCAGCTGGTAAAGAATCTACCTGCCAATGCAGGAGATGCAAGAGACTTGGGTTTGAAGTATATCTTAATAAGTCTGGGCTTCCCTGACAGCTCAGCTGGTGAAGAATCCGCCTGCAATGCAGGAGACCCCAATTCGATTCCTGAGTTGGGAAGATCCCCTGCAGAACAGATAGGCTACCCACTGCAGTATTCTTTCTTGGAGAATTCGATGGACAGAGGAGCTTGGCAGGCTACAGTCCATGGGTTTGCAAAGAGTTGGACACGACTAAGCGACTTTCACTTAATAAGTTCAACAATCTCTAAAAAATGTATCTTTTACTTTATCCCTTATTATCAAAGAAACCCATTCCTCTGGGAAAAGACACTAATGACAACTCACCAACTATAAGGATGGCTTCCGACCGTGCAGTGCCATGTGTGTTTGTGGCTTCACAGGTGTACTTCCCGGCGTGTTCCCGAGTAACAGCCTGAATGTGCAGAGAGCCTGAGCCCGCCCGGGATGTGACAGGCTCTGGGTCAGAACTCCCAGGCCTTAATAAGTGGGGTTTTCGGGATTTAGATCTAAGAGCTTGAGACAGATGACTGGTTATCAATCCGTGCTTGTCGTACCAACGGATGGCGGGCACCGGTACCCCAGTGGCATTGCAGGACAAAGTCACAGAGTCACCAACGGCCACCTCTGCACTTGTTGGCGCTCTAACTATAATGGGCTTGAGTCCACTGCCTATTAAAGAAAAAAATAATTCACATACAAAAATTAAGTACTTTATATATAGTATCTACAATGCAAAATAATTTCATCCTATTGCATAAATGTAAATACAGAACTGTGAAGAGAACTTGCCCACAGGTTTCTTCAGCACATCTAGTCACTGCAAATACAGAACATGCGAAGCCAAAGCCTCAGACTTTACCATGAAAAAGGTGTAAAGAAGTATAAGACTAAGCAATAGGCCCTCACAAAAAAAAAAAAAAAAGGTTGGTTCCAGGATGCAAAAATCTGATCACAAAAATTCTGGGAGAAAAACCTGTTCTGAATTATAGTTGATAAATGTATTTCTGACCATATACATGAACAAATTTTTGTTTGTAAACTAAAGTGACACCACCTCCTTCCTTTTGGTCCTAGATATTTTGGGAGCATATATTTCATGACCTCACAATAGAATATTGACATCTGACATTTTCTCCAACACATCTTTCTCCTTTTCTAGTCCTACTTCCTGCGTTTGACAGTCATTCAACAGTTTCCAGATTTCTGAATTTTTGCCCATCAAGTACTTATAAAATGCTATCTCATGGGTCATAACGTGCATTTCCCTCAGTACTAATGAAGTTGCACATCTTTTCACAGGTTAATTTGCTACTCATTTTTTCTTCCTCTGTCAAATACCTTTTGTCCTTTTTTCTACTGGGTCCTTTATCTTTCTCATAATGGTTCTGGATTCTTTGTAACTACATACTGTTCTTTTGTGCATTACATTTGTTACTAGTATTTTCTCTCTGTTTTTCTTTTCATTTTAATGGTATCTTTTAATAATAAGGATGCTTTAATTTTAACATGGTCACATCAATCTTTTCTTAAAAATTAGCCTAAAATTTCTTGTCAAAAAGTTTTACCTAGGTCATATATTCTTCTATATTTTCTTGAAAAACTTCACCATTTTGCCTTTCATATATAGGTCTTTAGCCCACTGGAAATTAGTCTTTGTGCGTTAGAGATTTAATTTCCTTTTCTCCATTTGTTATCCCCACATGGAACCCTGAAATGGATATCCTTCCCTTGTGATTTGCAGTGCCACCTAGGTCAAATCCTTACATGCATATCCTTCATGACCTACTTGTCTTTTCCTGCACCAATAATACATCACTGTCTTTTTTTTTTTTAATGATTTTATTTGTTTACTCATTTTTGGCTGTGCTGGCTCTTCACTGCTGCTCAGGCTTTTCTCTAGTTGCCAGGAGTAGGGACAACTCTCTAGTTGTGGTGTGCAGGCTTCTCATTGTGGTGGTGTCTCTTATTGCAAAGCCCGGCTCTAGGGTGCACGGGCTTCAGTAATTGAAGCTCCCAGGCTCTAAAGCACAGGCTCAATAGTGGTGGCACATGGGTTTAGCTGCTCCACGGCATGTGGAATCTTTCCGGATCAGGGATCAAACTGCAGTCTCCTGCATGGGCAGGGGGTTCTTCACCACTGAGCCACCAGGGAAGCCCTACAGCATATCTTAATTACTATAAATTTTTGTGTGTGTTCTAAAATCTGGTAAAGCAAGGCCCCCCACATTCTTGTTCTTCTTTTAGAGTGTCTTAGCTATTGTTGGTCTTTTGATCATCCATATGATTTAGAATTAGTTTGTCTATGTCCTCAAACTAGTGATAGGATTTAGTTGGAACTGCACGAATCTACAGAAAGCTTTTGGAAAGACCTTAGAAGTATGTTAATACTGAATTTTGGTATCCATGAACTTTTATATATTTCTATGTACTTGGAACTTTTTAAAGTTTCTAATATAAAAAGGTGACTTTTAAATGACATTTTCTGTTGCTGGTTGTAATGGTTAGTTTTATGTGTCAACTTGACTGGGTTAAAGGATGCTCAGATAACTAGGTGTGCCTGTGAGGGGTGTTTCCAGAAGAAATTTGCACCTGAATTGGTAAACTGAGGATAGCAGATGGCCCTCCCTAATGTGGGTGGGCACCATCCAATCCGATGAGGACCTCAGTAGAACAAAAATGCAGAAGAACGAATTCTTTCTATGAGCCTAGTCATCCTTCTCCTGCCCTAAGGACCCTGGATATCAGTGCTCCTGGACCTCTGGCTATGGGGCTTAGGTTGAGACTTACCATCACTTCTCCCACAATTGAACTGCTTCATCAGCTTACCTCCTTCTCCAGTTTGCAGATGACAGACTTGACCACCTTAACTGTGTGAGCCAGTTTCTACAATAAATCTCTGATGTGTATCTTACATATCCTATTGTGTTTTGTTTCTCTAGAGAAACTTGCTAACACACTGGTACCTGGAAAGGCAACTGATTCCTGTTTATTGGTCTTCATCAGCCATCTTGCTAAAGCTTTTATTATTTCTAATAATTTGCCAACAAACTATAGAGGATTCTCTCTCATGACAACCATAGGAGCTGTGAATTAATAACATTAATAACAGCTTAAAGAAAAGAGTTTAAAGAGAAAGAGAACAGCTTAAAGAGAAAGAGTTTCTTTCTCTCTTATCTTTATTGCTGTTCGGTCACTAAATCCTGTCCAACTCTTTATGACTCCATGGATTGCAGCATGCCAGGCTTCCATGTTCTTCATTATCTCCAGGAGTCTGCTCAAATTCATGTCCATGGAGTGAGTGATGCCATCCAACCATCTCTTCCTCTGTTGCCCCCTTCTCCCTCCTGCCTTTTTATATCCTAATATCTTTATTTCTTTTTCTTATCATCCTGTGCTGGTTAGAATCTGAACTATAATGAAAACTAAAAGATATTTTAAAGGGAATGCTTTAACGTTTTCCCATTAAAAGTAATGTTTTCTGTAAGTTTTTTTTATTGGATTTTCTTTATTGTTAAGAAAGTTCCCTCCTATTTCTATTTTTCCAAGAGTGTCTAACATGGATACTGAATTATATCAAATGGTTTTTCTGCTTCTACTGAGATCATCATAGTATTCTTCTCCTTTATTCATTAAATTGGATGAACACCACTTTAAATTTTCTGACTGATTACTGGGCTAACTCTTTGGTTAAACTTTATCCCTACTGATCCTATCTATTTTATCTTAATTTTCTATTTAACTGATTTCTGTCCATATCTTTATTATCTCCTTTCTTCTGTTTTCTTTAAATCTATTCTATTATTTTACTTAGCCCACTAATTTTTAGTTTTACTAGCTTTTTTTTATAAGCATTTAAGGGTATAAATCCTTTTATATTCTGCTCTCCTATATCCCACACAATTTGACTTTGACATTCATTATTATTTTGAATTTTAAATTTCCAATACGATTTTTTCACCCAGCCATTGAGAACTATAATTCTAAATTTCCAAATACATGCCATGTAAAAATTCTTTATTATTAACATCTGAAATAATTCATTGAAATTAATGAGTCTAAAGTAACTGCAGAGTCTAAAGTAACTGCAACAAGTTCAGAGAGTTGGTCTCTGTTATATTGATTCTTTGAAATATTTATAACTCTCAGCAAAAGCTTAATTTCCATAATATATAAAGAATTCCTATAAATAATAAAAAAGACGAATAACCTAATATAAAATGGACAAAAGACAATGAGCACTCAGTACACAGGAAAGCAAATTCGACGGCTCAGAAACACATCATGAGATGCTCAGCGTCACTCATTATAATAAAAAATATAGGGATCAAAACGTAGTTTTGAAAAACCTATCAGATAGGCAAACATTAAACAGAATTCTGACAATCTACTGCCTTGGTGAGAATATAAGGAAACATTGCTGGTAGGAGTGTAAAATGATAACAAGAGAGAGAGAGCAAGGTATCTGTCAAAATTACCAAGGCATATATGCTTTTATTTAGCAAGTTTATTTCTAAGGATTTACTTTAAAGAGGTTCACATATGTGCAAAATAATCTATGTAGAAGGACATTCATCATAGAGTCCTTATAATAGCAAAGGATTAGAAACAGTCATCCATGAGGTATCAGTCAGACCTTCACAGCTATACAATAGAAGACTAAGCAGCCATTTTTTAAAAGAAATGAGAATATTATTTAATGTACCATATGCAAAGGTGGCCAGGATATATGTTAAGTGAAAAAAAAATCAAGGTAATTTTTAAGGTAAAATCCAAGGAAATTTTAAAGGAGAAATTCAAGGTAATTTATATGAATGCCAGCATCATTTGTATAAAAAAAATTGATATTACTATTAAATGCACACAAACTCACATGTTACATGTAATTAACCATATACATGCATACAAGACTAGTCAAGAAAATTACAAAACTTGTTAGTTCTAAGAGATATCTGACTGGCTAGGGAACACGAGTGAGATTTTTACCACATACTTTTTAAAATTATACCTTTTTAAAGCAATGATGTATCTGTTAAAAAATATTAAAAACAAATTTTTTTATCAGCCTGATTAAATAAGGTTGCTTCTTCATGGAAATGTCTACCAGCAAGTAGAAAGGAACATGGAAAATGAACACAGTTCTGTTATGGTGATAGGATTACTTCCTTTTTGTAAAGAGGATTTAATTTTTAATCAAAACAAAATCCCATCTGTACAGTGAAATTTCCTAGGATGACATGACCTAAAAGCCTACCTTTTTCAATTTCAAGTCTCCCAGTAGACTGTGTAAATCCAATCCCATTATCTGCTACACACTGATACAGCCCGGAATCTTCCATGGTAACACCACTAATTTTCAATCCATTTCCCACAGTTAGATGTCGTGGGGAAGAGTGAACGGGCTGGGCATTGTGAAACCAGGTACGGTTGGGTGCTGGGTTCCCATGAACTTCACACGTGAATTGTACTGTCGCACCTAGAGACACTGTCTGATCCTGCAGTCCTTTAGAAATTGAAGCACGTTCTAAAAATAAAACATATTATAACTTATAAGGACCTACTGTATACCACAGTCAATCCTCTGCATGACCTATATGGGAAAAAAAATCTTAAAAAGAGTGGAGAAATGTATATGTATAACTGATTCACTTTGCTATACACCTGAAACCATCATAACATTGTAAATCAACTAATACACCAATAAAAATTAATAAAAAATAAAAATAAAAAATATAAAGTTAGCCCTCACACAAGTCATTAAAACTCTACCAATGACTAGTTGAAACCAATATGTATTGTTTCCTCCCTCATATTCTCTCATCAACAAAAAATTAGAAATGTATTGACTTTCCTCCAATAGGATAAACCATATGTTACTAATATGTTGCAGTCCTTTTTTATGTAATAGATCTCTCCACCCAATTAACCACCCCCCAAGCCAACATATGTGCGCACACACATATGCACATATGCAGGGTTTCAGATGATCTGTTTTGAAATAATAATTTCCTTGGATTTTATACTATACAAGAGCCAAAATAGAAGAATGCTTATTTGGAAGTAAAATTTTTTTTTTTTTTCCTGGTGAATTCTGCTTTGAGGTTAGGTGTATTCTGGGCAAAAAATCTTCTTTTAGTATCCATCAGGCCACTTTTTACTTGGACAAAGTAAATCATGTATTGGCATTTGTAACATATGCCAATATTAAATGATTGTGTATATTAATCTAGTCCTAATTATCATTAAATTTTAAAGCCTGCTTGCCATACACATACACTAATGCCAGTATAACCTGCCTCAGGCCACTGTTGCACATAAACAGGTCCAGTTGACAAAAACTATATTTGGTATGAAACTTTTTTTCTGGTTTTCATGAAAATTTGTTTTGATAAAACATTTTGCTGCTACACATGACAGTGAGATAGGTAGCTGGAAGAAAGGAACGACACGGAAATAAATAGTACACATGGAATGTGAGTGAAAATAACACAAATTTTATGAGTCAGCAGTAGTGAAACCATTTCAAAAGGGAAAATAAAATGAAACCCACTGCCTTTATGAGATGACATTTTCTAGTTAGTACTCTGTCTTATTCGGCTTCCTGATGGCTCAATAGTAGAGAATCCGCCTGCCAGTGCAGGAGATGTGGGAGACGCCAGTTCGACCCCTGGGTGGAGTTCGACTTCCTGGAGGAGGAAATGGCATCCCACTTCGGTATTCTTGCTTGGGCAATCCAATGGACAGAGGAGCCTGGTGGGCTACAGTCCACGGGGTCAAAAAAGAGTCAGATACAACTGACAATGCACTCTGTCTTAGTTACTGTTACTGGACACCACACACTGATACAGCCCAGAACCTTGATCCGGTTGGACTCCAGTCTCTTTCCTCCATGTCACTGAGAAGGAAGAACCAGCTCCGTTTTGTGTAACCAGGGTAGGGGTGAGATCCCAAGAACATCCCAGGTGAAAGACTCTGTGCTACACAGAAATACTGCCCAACTCAGCAGTCTTCTCTTATCCCTGGCTGTACCACACATTATGTGGTGGGATCTTAGTTCCCTAGCCAGAGATTGAACCCCACCTCCTGCACTGGGAACGCCAAGTCTTAAACCACAGGACCCCCATGGAAGTCCCAGCAGTGCTTTAGAGAAATGAAGCTGGCTACCGGGGTAACTATTTCTAGATAGTCTCTATTCCATTTACAGTTCACAAACAGATCTTCCATTCAAACATCAGTTAGATCGGAAAAATAGCCTGACTTGAAAACACACTTAACAAGTAACGTCTTACCAAGTACATTCACCACGTAAGACACGTGTTTGGCATCTCCAGACTTGTTCCCCACCACACAAGAGTAGTTGCCGGAGTCCGCTGGGTCAATGCTGTCCGTGGCAAGATGCGTATACAGCCTTCTCCAAGTGCCTCCCACCACCGCATCCTGACCATCCTTCAACCAGTGCACATGAGAAGCCGGGACCCCACTCACCACACACTCCAGGGTCACAGGGCTACGAGAAAGAACGGCTAATGCCTGTGAAAAGGTGGGGTGAAGAATGTGAAAGTCATCTGAAGAAGGACCTGGAGAAAGAAGGCGAAGCAAAAAAAATCATTAAGCATTCACTTCTACTTTCTTCCTTAGCAAAGCTGTGAGCATCTTCATCTTCCCATTTACTCTTTTTTACACTACAAAGTCCTATTTGGTAACGAAGCCATTTTCAGTTGAGAATTGATTTTAAAAGACTTGGGGATCCTTTAGGGCTAATTAATAGTTTTGAAATGTCAAATTCACACCAAGCACATGGACAGACAACTCCTTCACTGTGCTTTGACTACTGATCCAGTCACAGCTTGACCAAAAAATCAGATATGAACTACTATATCTCAAAGAGAAGTGAGAAATATTTTTGCATAATTCATAGTCAGCCACCAAGTTGATTATCACTGATATAAAGTGATATTCGCTCTCCAATTTCTTTTTTTTTTCTTTTCAAAGATTGTTTTTGCCATGGACCATTTTTAAAGTCTTTATTGAATCTGTTACAATAAATTTCTGTTGTTTGTGGTCTGGTTTTTGGTTCTGAGACACATGGGATCTTAGCCCCCCGACCTGCATTGGATGGCAAGGTCTTAACCACTAGACCACCAGGGAAGTCTCTCTAATTTCTTTCTCTCTGAGCAAAAGGCAGAGTTCTCCATATGAATTCTACTCTGTCAATTCGACCAAAATTCTCTCCTGAAAAGCCATTATATTTGTATTAATAAAACATGTACAGAATTATGCTATTTAGGCATGTAATTTTTTATAAGACTTTCTCATGATAAACAAACAGGATGTGAAAGAAAAATGAACTCCCATTTCCCAACTCTTCACGTGGAATGCTTCCAAGGACTCTCCCCAGTGACCATGATTCCCCCAAATACTTACGACTCACAAGGAGCTTTTGGCCAGTGGGTTCAACTTTTAACTCATGTGTGACAGGATTAAAAGCTGCACATTTATATGATCCTTTGTCCTCTAAGGATACATTCAAAATCTGCAGATTTCCTGATGGAAGGATTAGATAATTCTCTGAGGAAGGAAGGGAATGCAGTTAGGCTTCTCTCTTTATGAAGGACACCAGTTAAAACTCACAAAGGTTGATAGTTACGCTTTAAATGTAGACATGACACAAGCAGCTGATAAGCAATTAGGGAAAAAACATTAAATGAAGGAAAAGGAAAGCCAAGACAGGAAAAAAAAGTCAACAGCACTTGAGTAACAAAATCAGGCCCATGACTCCAGACCACTCACTGAGAAAATCAAAAGCACAAGAAACATTTGGACAAAGACACAATGATTCTGTCTTTTGCGGTGCTCATGACGTGTGGGGCACACTGAAGGCATTGCTGTGGTCAGTCTATTTAGTTTTCCTCTGTAGCTGTTTTATTATTTTGGTGTATTGGTTATGAAGATACTACTATCTCCTTGTAAATCGCTACTTTGTATTTTATGCATGCTCTGTAACTTGATTTTTTTTTTAAGTTACTGATTTGGAATATATTCACATTCTAATTAACAGTTATAGGGGGACTATTAAAAAAAAAAAAAAGACACAATGACCACAGCTATCACCTTGGGCAAACCTCTGCCTACAGCACTGACCACCCAGTATTCAATCATGTCTTCATTCCTTTCTTCTCAACAGTATGCACTGACAGCCTACTTTCTGCCAACGGCTTGGGCCCAAGCCATACAACAATGAAGCAAGCAGATAGAGCAAACCCTGCACTCACGTGGCCAGCATTCCAGTGCAGGGACGGGGTAGCCGAGAGAGAGGCAAATAAAGAGCAAGCAATCACTGATACAATACAGTGCTACAGAAAAGATGAAGCTGAATCAAGGGGGACAGAGAAAACACGGCATATCATTTTAGATAGAGCCATGAGAGCGACCTTGAAGGAAATATTATCTGAGTAAATTCCTGAACAGGTTGAAGGAGTGAGCCTTAGAGGTGCGGGGTTGTAATTATTTCCTTTTTAATTTTTACTTTTTGGCTGCACCTCTGAGCATACAGGATCTTAGTTCCCTGACCAGGGACTGAATCCTCGCCTCCTGCGTTGGAAGCCCAGAGTCTTAACCCCTGGACCACCCGGGAATTTCCTATAATCATTTCTATCCTGTACTCTATATTATGTTCTATCTTAGACTACAACCATTTGTTCTAGTCTCTTCCACTTGACTCTCAAGAGGAGAGACAATGTGTCTCAAGTATTCCTGTGTCCACAGCCCCCAGCACACAGAGCTTAAAGGAAGCTGGTGAATGACATTTGTTCCACGGTGTCACTGGCTTTTCATTAGAGTTCTCACCTGTGGACCGCTTCAGCCACTTTCCCCGGATTTTATAGCGCACTTCAGCTTTGGGGTTACTATCTGGTACCTTGCAGCCAATGAAACCGGTACTCTTTTCTTCTGCCGTAATAACATTTTTTGTGGATGCACCAAAATCACCAAGAACTAAAATAAATAAGTAAATAAGTAGACGGATCAATAAATAAATGCAAACTTGAACTCTCTTCCCCAAAGGAAATTTTAAAACCAGAAACAACATTGGCACCACAGCTGTTTGTGGCAGCTAATCCCAGTTTCCGGAGTAGCAGAATCTTTTTATCTCAGTAAGCAGTTGGGATAGAGGTGCACGGTTGAGGGCTGGGGCTTAGTCATGGCACCTTTTTTGAGAAGTCAATGCTTCCGGGAGACTGCAAGACAAGCATACTGTTCCTGAAATATTAGGGAGAACTATAAAGCATAACTGTTCCCCATTCTGTCAAGACGAATCCTTTTTAATCCAGTCTCTCATCACAGCTCACTTTCCCTATGCATCTTTATTCTGTCTGTAGCCACTCACATGGCAATAAAATGGTTTACAAGAATGAACCTAGGACATAGGGAAAAACAAAAAACAGTGTATCATTTGAATTTCCAGGGAGAGAATCAAGTCTCCTACATTGCAGGCAGATTCTTTACTGTCTGGGCCCCCATGGAAGCCCCAAATATACTATTAGTCCTTTTTTTTTTTTTTTTAACTTGGGGGGGGCGGTGGGGGTGGCAATTTTAGTTCCCCAGACCAGGGATGGAACTCAGGCCCCTTGCAGTGGAAGCACTGAGTCTTAACCACTGCCAAGGACGTGCCCTAACTAGGTCTCAATTTCTCCCAGTTTAAGCTTACTGCAGATGGAGCCGGCGTGGACGGGCTCTTTATTATGGGCAATGGTGACAGCCTCTGCAGCCTGCCCCTAGGAAGTCAGCCCTCCAGAGTGTGACTTGGAGCTGTCCATGGGTCACAGCTCTACAACAACATTTACTCTTCTCAGTTACGACAAACTCACTACTCCTGGGGAATCCAGATTTGTTCTGTAAATAGGGGTGCCCTCACAAAGACGTTTTCCATTACTGGAAGCCATCACCATTTGAAAGGCAGATGGCCCAAACTTACTAAGAAAACCACACAGTCTAGATTTTCCGTAAGTTCAATACTCAACATTCCTTTCTTTGCCGTTATTTTCCCCCCTCCGCACTTCTTTAACCTGGTTTCAATTAAATAAACTAAAATCACTCTGTAATCAAAATAAATAAAACAATGAGATTTGAGAAAAAGATAAAGGACTGCATGAAATAACTGCATCAAAGCAGACAACAGCTGTTGTTGCTGATATTAAGGAAATACAAGGAAATTCAGTTTCATGTTAGAAAATTGTCCTAGTTAGGACAATTTAATTTTCACATAATAATTTTATGTGATAAATAAATAAATGTGAAAATAAATAATATTTTCCCAAAATAATTTTCACATCCCTTATTACAATGGAAGACACCAAGCTAGGCTCACAGAGGTTCAAGTATCATTCCCCTGGGGTTAAACAAAACAAATGTCAAGGCTGGGATGAGAACTCATATGTATCTTACTCCAAAGCCCATGCTACTTCCACGACTCAAACAATGCAGGTGCCGAGAGTAATTTCAGGAAAAAGCATCTATCACAGGGACAACAATTAAACTCACCTGCAGTGGATATGGTTGCAGGACCACTCAGGATGGCACCGATGCTGTTGTTAGCAACGCACTGGTAATAACCCGCAAGTGAGGGGTTAAGAGAAAGGATAGTCAACGTGCCCTGATGAACCTTAATCTGCTCCACATTTCTGTCCAACCTTTTTCCATTATGCAACCATGAGATGCGAGCAGTCACAGGTTTAGCAGAGCAATGCAGTGCTACAGGTCCACCAGGTTTCTGGACAGCAGACAATGGCTCAGAAACAAAATAAGGTGCCAAGTCTGCAAGGGAGCGTTCCCCGTATACAAAGGGGTGGAGGTGGAGGAGGGAATGGGAGAGAAGGGGAGGTAAGGGGAGAGAGAAAGAAGAGCACATTTAATATACTTACTGGCAATCCCTTTACAACAAAAGACAATCCCTTACCGCATCTGTATGTTATGGTCCTTAAGAGCTTGTATAAGTTCAAGGAACAGCTTTACATTTGAAAAGAAACAAGGCAATGTCCTGATATAGAACATAACAATTAGAGCAGTACAGATAACAATCCTTATGATCTAAATAAACAAAACACTAATTCTGTAAATGAGAAATGGTAAGCTGCTCTTTGAAAGAAGTAGTTTTTAAAAACTGGAAATTAGGCATCTGAAAAAGAGATGACTTTCAAAATAAAGAGAATTCTCTTCCATATTACCAACAGGATTTGACTTTAAGAGCAAATTATTTTATCAATAAAGATTATGGTACTTCTTGATTTGGCTTCCCTGGTGGCTCAGTGGTAAAGAACCTGACTGCCAATGCAGGGGGCAGGGGTTTGATCCCTGGGTGGGAAAGATGTCCTGGAGAAGGAAATGGCAACCCATTCCAATATTCTTGCTTGGGAAATCTCATGGACAGAGGAGCCTGGCGGGCTATAGTCCATGGAGTTGCAAAAGAGCCGGACACAACTTAGCGACTAAACAATAACAACTCCTTGACTACTTCTCTTTAATATAAATCATGTCCAACTTTTAAGAAAGCAGAAGTAGAAAGTCAGGAAGCCACACTGAAATACAAAACCTATCCTTTCTGGGATGTAAGGATAAACGGGGTATCAATCTGAACATTTTTATTTGGTTTTTGGAATAGTTTCATTTGTTATGTCTATTCTTCCAGGAATTTGGGAGAGAGAGGTTCTTGCACTCAAGTATCAAAACAGATCCCTCTCCTCCACCCATAAAAGAGGATGGGGGAGGAATCCTGCTAATCTGGTATAATAAAATACTTAAAAGAAAAAACACAATAAATTGTTGAATCTACTTTTATAGGGTATTTTACCAGAAATAAAGATTAAGGGAAATGCCTCAGCTGAATCTGAGGTTGCTATTTAGCCCAACAAAAAAAGCAGAAATAAAACCACTAAATCAATTTTCCCTTAACTAAATCAAACACAGTTATATAGTATTTTTAACAAAGATAATAAATAGATATTAATAAATAAACATCACTGTATTTGTATATAAAAATCTTCACACAAATCTAAAACAAAAAGAAATGCGTATGGGCCATGTATCAGCCTTGGGCTTACATGTACATTTAATAATAAACACATTTAAGCTTTTCAGTAATGCAAAGAGATAATAAATTAGGCAAGGTCATGAGACCTGGGATTCAAACCAAGTTCTCTCATTCCAAGTTGGGTATTCTTACATACTGATTCTAAAACTACTCCTTTGGTGGTATACAGTCAGCACTTTATTCCTATTATAACTTCCAAATTCAGAAATTTGCAACATATCCTCATTGGAAAAAAGCATGATCAGAAAATATTTATTTTCAAGGCAACAAAAGGAATAAATTACAAGGACAATGATGGGAAGGACTGTGAGTGCCTAGAAGCACTACTAAGAAATCTTTGAATTGTTTAATTAAAGGTTTTAAAATCGTTCCGCTGGTCAAACAAATTTTAGAAACGTCTTTATAAACCGTTACTATTGGCAAAGCATTAAAGTTGAAGCTTTTCATAGGGTTAAGATGCGGGCAAGCTTCAGCCCAAAAGTTCCCATTCTCTCTTCTTACCTGGACTCACAGAAGCGCAGAGCATCAGGAGAGTCATGTACAACAGCGTCTGTAAGGGTCTAGAATCTGGATGCATAGCGCCAGATTACAGAAGCGGGCAGGGCAGACTTCCAGGGCAAAACCCAGGCTTTGGCTCACTAAGAGACATAGGGGGAAAAAAAAAGAAGAAGCAAATTTTAAAGTATAAAAACAGTTGAAATCTACTCTCTGAAGAGCCAAAGTCCTGCACGTGGTAGCTGCCTTCAATTTTGCAAGCTTCATATAGACTGCATCAAATACAAGGCATTTAATGATCCACATCTTCCCAGTTCACAAAATAATCTGCAGGCATTAAAGTTAGAAGTTCCGCTCATTCTTCCAAGATACTAAGACACTTATTTTATACGGACCCAATCATTGCAAATGAATCCATTACAGCCTTTCGCCCATTTCTGTTTGTACAACTCACAACCATCTAAAACTCAACCAAAACGCATTCCTTCTCTACATTCCTTAAGATACAAACAATAACAAAAACAACAAAATTATAACTTACGTTTATACAGTGTTTAGTACGGGCCAGACACCATCTCAGTGCTTTTCATATATTAACTGAACCTTTGCAACAACACTATGAGTTAGCTGCTCCTGGTTTTCTTCCCTTTTTTCAGATGGGGACTCACGGATTGCACAGAGAAAGCTAAGGGCAGATGTGGGTGGGGACTGAGCCTTCTGCAGAACATGCGAAGACCACTGTGGTGAGAGTGGGATGAGCCAGAAAAAGAGCACAGAGGAAAGCCAGGCTAGATCCTACCCAGTTTCAAAAGCCACGGTGAAGATGTTGGCATTTATTCTCAAGGCAATGGCGGGCCCTTGGAGGACTCAGAGAATAATGGGGTCTCATTATGCTTTAAGAGGACTGGCTGGAGGACAGACTAGACTGAAGTGGGGCAGGAACGGAGGAGTGTGAACAAGCTGGTGTGAGCACTGCGTTAGTGGCTGCCTGTCTTGTGTTTCATGTACTCTATATAAAGCTTGCAAACTTGTGGGCAGCCACTGAATCCAGTGATTCACAGGATTAAGACGAAGAAAAGCTTCAGCCCCCCAAACTGCCATTCTCTCTTCTTACCTGGCCTCACAGAAGAGCAGAGTTGGGAGAGTAACATACAGCAGTGTCTCTAAGAGTTCAGAATTTGGATCTGAATAATTGAATTTTCAATGGACCAAGCTGCTTCATTCAAAGAGCTGTTTACCTTTTCTCATTTATAGAATTAGTATTTTGTCTCATTTATGTCACAAAGATTCTCTCATCTATACTGCCCTAACTGTTAAGCTCTGTATCAGGATATTGCCTTATTTCTTTTAAAATATAAGACTGTTTCTAGAACTTTTACAAGCTCCAAGGACCAAAACATATAGATGTAATAAGGGACTGCCTTTCATTGGTCTATAGGGTGCATCAGATACAACAGAGGCAGTCACTGAATCACTAGATTCAAAGCAGACTCTAAAGGCAAACCAACAGAATCTGTTGAAGGCTTGGGTAGAGAAGGCGAGATAAAGAGATGTCAAGGATAACTTTTAGCTTTTGATGTAACAGAATAAAGTCCTGTTTCCTGAAATGGGGAGGACTAGAGAGGGGAAAACAGCTGAAGAAGAGGTTGCTCAATAGCCATGCTTTGGCCATCTGGATCTTCCCGACCCAGGGATCAGACCTGGGTTTCCTACATTGCTGGAAGATTCTTTTACCATCTGAGCCACCAGGGAAGCCCATTGCTATAAATGGCAGCAGAAAAATTGAACTGCTAAGGATGGATGGTTGACAGCCATGGAAATGTTGGGTTTTGTGGGGTCTTTTTTTAATACAGAAATCCTGTAACACATTAACAAAGCTAAAAAAGAAGTTTCACGTAACCCAGCACTGGTAAAGATGTGGGTAAAATCACTATAATATCTCATTGGTGGAAATAAAATTGGCAAACTCCTTTCAGAAGGAAAATTATTCATTCATTCAGCAAGTATTTGTTGAATTTTTTTTTACAGTTTTTTCATTTTAATTTATTTTTTAATTGAAGGATAATTGCTTTATAGAATTTTGTTGTTTTCTGTCAAACCTCAACATGAATCAGCCATAGGTGTGTGTGTATATATATATATATATATATATATCCCCTCCCTTTTGAACCTCCCTCTGAATGTTTACTATATGCTGGGTACTATTCTAGGAACTAGGTTACAGCACCTTAAATACATATATAAGTGTAAAAAATAATGGACAAAAAAATGTATACATTACATTCTGTGTGAGAGATGAACAATAAACCAGACAAATAAATTAGGAATATGGTCCATGCCATTCTCCAGATATGCTTTATTCCTTCTCCTCTGTGCTAACTCTATACCCTGGTCACTGCCTACCACTGCACTCACTACTCTGTTCTGCAATTTATCTGGTTACATGACCGTGTCCTCTTTAAAGGCAAGAATGATGTCATATTGAACTTTGCAAATTCTAATGCCTAGCAGAAAAGAGGCACTTGATGTTTCTGAAAATGAAAGGAATACCTTCATAGAATGTAATTCCCAGAAGTACCTTAACAAAGTAGTATTTAATGAGAACTGTTATCTCAACTGAATTCTGTGTGACCTAGCTATATTTTTATTCCTTCATTCACTTATTCATTCATAGATATGATTTCAAAAATCAGCAAACATACAGTAAGTACCTACTGTATACCAAGTATAATTGCTAGGCTAGAGATCCAGAGTGGTTATTTTGATGACAATTCCACTCCCCATGTTCTTGCTTGGCCAGGATACAGAATTTGTGACTACAGAACACAACAAAATGTAAGGCCAGAACTACACTAGTGACCTTTCAGTAGTGAGAATTCTACATGTATACTTATTTGTGAAAAGAAAGGTTAACTCTAACCACTGACAAAACTGGGTATAGTAACCCAAGGCAAGGCATTTTAAGAATGGCTTTGAATAAATCAAGTACTTCTCAGGATCTGCTTGCTTCTTCTCTACACCACAAACTCCAAAATCTCCAAGTTGCAAACTCAAGTTCATCTACTATCAGTTCAAGGACTTCCTTTTACCTGTTTCCTTGATGAGCTCTTTTAAATGTGGGAGAAAATACTGCAGTACCACTCACTGGCAGAAAGGGCCAGCTGCGTGAAGGCCTTTTTTGGTTTATTTGAATTCTCCCCTGTTTCAAGGGCAGGAACTGACATACCGCTGCTAGGCAGTCAAGGCAAAGTAAACATTCAAACAACTTGTTAACAGCAGACACTTTCCTGAGACGATGAGGACAAGGAGGAGAGTTTCTTCCTTTTGCCAAATCTTTCCTCAACTATTTATTTATTGAAAAGCAGTGAAACAAATTCCAGAGTCAACTTGAACCCCAGCATGGGATCTGGTGAGTTACTTTATAGCTGTCCTTTAAAACGTCACAGCTCATTATTGCTACCTAAACACTGTGGCACAGAAACATGCCCACGTTTCTATGAGGCTAACACTCTGTCAGTTAATTTGGGTGGTTGGAAAGGAATTACAACCCTAACAGTTACTGACTACATATTTGTTGACTTGGTTTATATTTATCCCTGGCAGGCCTGCTCAGCTTGTTGAGAACTGCGATATTCAGAATAAGGACCTGGATTCCGTTGCCCTACTCATCAGGTAGCTTGAAATTATACTCAACAGCCACCAAGGGCAACCTAGGTCCAACCTCACAAACAAACATCCCTGATCACAAGAAGAGTAACAGACAGCCCAAGTGCTGCTCCTTGAGTCCTGACTTACAGATTCAGGGCTTTCTCTAAGCCCTTCCCGCATGCCCACAGAGAAGGCTATTTGTCTTCCATTACAAACTGTACTTTTAAGCCATCCCAGGCTGAGGAGAATTTCTGTCAGCAAGGGGAAACTAAAGGTATGCCTCATCTCAGAATAAGAAAGGAAATAGTTCCCTAACATTTATTTAACTTATTGTTCAGGCTGTGAACTTGCTGCTTTTATAACCCCTTTTCAACACGCTGCCAGAATAATCCTTTGGGAAAAGTCTTTCCTGAATTTCTAGATTTGACTCCTCTGTTTCTGAAGGAACGCCTCTGCTTTCCTAAGGATGATCAAAGCAGCCTCTCTGCATTATCCCCTCCCTAGACTCCTGTATCAGATGTTCTTAGAGTTTTCTTTGAGGCTTAGGGAATAACTGTGATTAATTTGTGAACCAAAAATTCGGCTTTGGGATTAGTATTGTTCTTCAAAACAGAACATTCTTAGTTTTCTTTTTTAAAGGCATCTTCTTCATAAAATAGTAATTTCCTTCTTTAAAAAAAAATTATTTTCAAACTATTTCAAAGCATCCTATTTCTCAACTGTGGAGGGAAAAAAATGACATTTTGGCAATAACTAAACAAAAGAAAAAATACTTAAAATTTTTTTTACTAGATACTGCTTAATTCTGCACAATTTCGGTTATGGAAGTCAAAAACCTTTTTTTAAACCCACTGAACCACCTTGACCTTAATCACAAGCAACTTTAAATCTCTCCAAGTTTTCTTCATTCTGAATATCTGAGTAATTTAGCTAAGCAAACAATATTTCCTGCACAGACTTCTCAGAGAATCTTACTTTTTCCAAGAAATATTCATTCAATCAATTAATTCCATATGGAGGGTATTGACTTGGGGCAAGATCCTGGGAGAGGTACAAAGATGAGGAAGATGCGGAAGGCATAATTTCTGAGCTAAAGGATACTGCAGCCTCATTTGGAAAAGAGGGCTTGAATTAATTAACTCTGAAATAAAGAAAAATATAATAAGTAAATGAGAATGTAAAAAGTATTGAAAGAGGTCAAAGCAGAGGAATCCATCTTTCATTCCACAAACGCTAAGTGCCTCCCTACTCCATGTCAGGGGCTATGCTGTCCTGGGAACTCAGCCAGGGGTGAAACAAGCAGGACAGCTGCCTTCAAGATGCTTCAAATCAGGTAAGGACAGGTGACAACTCGAGAAGCCCTTCCAATACTGACTCACCTAACAGAACAACTAAACTTGCTGCCACAAGGGCCCCTTCAAGGTTACTGCATTTGTGGATGGCTTCTTTTTTTCTCTTTCTTTTTTAAATTATGAAAGAATGGTAACACGTTTAC